TTAATGTCCTCACTGAGTGCTCTTAATCATCTTCAAATAAAATGCTCATCCAAAAGTGGAATACACAGATGATCCCTACAAGCCTTACACACACACACTGTAAAAATCAGTAGTTAAGAGCCCAAGATCTTTCAGTCCAAACGTCTATTATCATCATCAGCAGGCCAAAGTAAAATTGTATTAGACAGCAGTCTTAAAGCATTATGAGTCAAAACAGAATTTAACCAGCCAGTGGGAATGAGTCCATACTCCTTCCCTTCATGGGACATTATCTTTTCTGTACACTCTTGCAAGACTAGTTTCCCGAGATTCAGTTTTTCATGACATAGATTAGAATAAATCATCAGCTGCTTTTTTTGGCTCTTTTGGAACTCCTTTATATCCCTCTTGTAAGCTGCTATGTACAATGAACAGAAATTCCTTGCAGCAACATGATGCAAACACTACTGTCAAGATCCTGGTATTCTGAGTTGGAAAAAATAGTGAATATTTACCTCATTTTTTCAGGAGCTTAACACAAGTTTGTGTAGATGATGTAGGAATTCTAGGTTATTCCTATTATGTGTGGTAGAACTACATTCTACCTCATGTCTACATGACGTTCTGGGTATTTCAACATATTCTTCTACGAATGGCAAAAAGGAAACACCTAAGACCAACACACTGGTTAGCAAGGCAGTAGAAGGATAGTGAGGAGCTAGAAGTAGGTAACGAAATAGTTTTTAATGTGTTAGTAAATCAATGACTGATATGTACTGAAACTAGTGAAATGCACCAGTATTCCTCAAGGCCTTGTTATTAACAGTTATTATTCAGATTTCTCTGAACTACAGAGTTCCAAAAATATTAGAAACACATACAAAAATGCATAAGTTTTTTACTTTACAATACCTTCTGTCTCAATAGTTTCACCTGTATTTTCTCACACTTCTCAACCTGGCATGAACATATACCTGAAACATGCTAGTGTCTTAATTTTAATGAGTTTTCATACATATAACCTACGTGTCATTTAGAGAACATGCACATGGTATACATCTGTGTGGGTTAAAAAGAGTGCAAATAGCAAAGTCCCATCTCCCCCTAGTAATATCCCTGTTCCTGATTCTGTTATTCTAAAAGCTCTGATTGCCCTCTCTCTCAGAGCAGAATAAGAGTAATCGGTGATTTTTTTTTTTTTTCAAGTTCTGGCATGTAGGTTATGTATGGTGTGTATTACATGCATGAAAATATGCTAGCTTTGTAACACGAGGGGTGCCACATTGTAGTTGTGGTGGAAAGCTTGCTTAAGCCTGAGAGCTTCTCCATGGCAAATGCCATGATGACTTCTGAAGTAGTTATTTGTACTGATTCCACTTCTTTGCCTTCTATGTTGGTCTTATGGTTTATGGCTCCCGTGGGTATTTGCACAATGCTTGTCTTGCAAGCACTAAGAAAAATGTAAGGAACAAAAACTCTGGGCCTGTGGAAACAAATCTTTACACATAACAAGATGTGTAAAAGCTTTTAGAGGGATTGTTACATTCTCAGGAAATATGTTAACAGGAAAAGGACTTCTCTCCTAACTCTGCATGTACTGCACAAATAGCAGCGGGAGTTCTGTGATCACGTGGCACATACATGACATGACACAATAACAAATCCAAGGTTTCCTGTATGGCCTTCACTTGTTCCTGAAATAAGCAGTCCCAAAGGATTAGTCTGAAAACACAAAGCTATAAGGTACAAGAAACAAATGCTAAGCGGATGCAGTTTTATGACCAAAGTAGAATCTACATACACTCATAAATAAATGAGCATTTGTTTCTTTCACAGCAAGCCCTTAAGCAGAATGTTAAGTAAGTTAAAAAAATCAGGAAATAAAACCAAATTAAAAGTGGTGGATATTTCCATTGCCAAAGATTCGATATCCACTTTCAGTGCTACTACAAGCATGTTCCACTGCTGAAGTTCATGGAAGCAACTCAAGGAAGGGGCACTAGGGAGAACTCCCACAGAACCCCTCTTCTCACTTTCTTCACTGATAGAAGACTCACTAGGGTGCCATAAAACACTTACCACTACTACTTCAGTGTATGGAGAGATAGAGAACCCCCCACCAATCTTACAGATAGGCCACATTCACTTCCCCTCTACTCAAACAAATTCTAAGAGACTAGGAATAACTGAATAGGTCATTAGATTTTACTGCATTTAAAGACACTATCTTCATTAGTGGGAGAGGGGGTTTGAAGTGCCCACACCTCAACAAACAGCCAGGGTGTTAGTATTCTGTGCCAGAGGCACCTATGCTTCCACAGAGGAAGATGAGGCACCTACACAAGAACTCTATAGCTTGTATACTGCCCTACAAAGAATATGGTCACCTTCTGCCTGGGGCTCAAGATCTGACATTCACAACCCACTAGGATCTGGAGTTTTGGTTCAAGCCCCATGTCTTACTGCTCCCCAGATGAACAGCTGAGAAAACAGCTCTTTCCTTGTCTCTAAACAGATTTCTCTATTTGGAATATTGCCTTTATTATAGGTCACTTGAGAGGACAATCATCATTGCTGTTTTCTGATTTATGTGCAGCTCTGCATTATACCAACTGTGAAACAAATTCTGGACAATCAATAAGTAATTAAAACAGAACTAATAGCTGGGACATAACTGGGAGTACACAGTGCAGCTACAATCTAATTATTAAAATTTGATCCAAAAAAAATACCCCTCTGGGCAGCAAAGTTTATTGGTGGAGATGCAGGCTTGTGGGTCATGGCTGCCAGCAAACATGCTGGACACATGCTGAGCATCCTCACCCTTTCCAAAAGTTGAATACTGTTCCATCTGCCCTCTGGATAGAGGGACAAAACCGGCTCTGCTAATTCCCTCAACATCCCTCATGTTCAGCTGCACATGGGCTCTAACTGAAGAAGGCTTTATATTACCTCAAATGTAACTCAGTGAGCAACAGCAAAATGACAAGGTCCATCTATTCACATCCAACCCACAGAATCAAACACTCAGACCTCCTTTCACAAAACATGAAGATGCACTATACTCTTAAATACAAAATCTGTTTGAAATTTAGAACTAAGTGGATGCTCAGGTCTTAATGGGTTCATGAAGCCAGAGCCAGATGCATGACCAGAGCAGATGTCAAAATTCACAAAACCTGTTTGAGCAGGCGGATCAGTTTACCTCATTGCAAAGAAAAAGGAGCACCTCAGATTACCTGAGACTGCAGTTGACTAGTTTTGGGAGAGAATCTAGTATGAGAGAGTTTGGAGTTTTCCACTTTGCTGAGGCAAGAAAGAATGTTCTTTACAAATCCCAGTTAGCAGTCTACCACATATACTTGGTGTATCATGGATCTGCCAGAAGCCATTAATCATTATTGTTAACTACACATTAATTTTTTTTTCAGAGCAATTTTTCACTATATTTAACTTGTGTGTCCCTAAGAAAATGATAATGTTTTAGAGGATTGCACAAAAGTTAAAGCACTAACTTGATTAAACACCTGGTAGAGGACCGTGCCCACTGTGGAACTGAATAGTAAGTGCAAATAAATTAAGTTACTCATCCACCCCTCTGTAGAATATTGTACATTTTGAGACTTTAAATACATCTGCCACAATCAAGGAAAGTTTAATACTTTCTTGGATGGAAAGCATTATTTTAATTTACTTGAAAAGGCACTCTATACACATATAAAAGGGAACTTTCAGCTCAGTATTGAAACAGAGGACAACTGTTTCTTCCAGCTTGATCTTTGCATGGGTTATTATAGGATATGGAAGCTAATTAGCCTTAGGCACATTTATGAACCTCTTCTCTAGATTCAGATTACAGGCATAATGCTTCTGAAGCATGCACTGTTGCCTCGGTGAATCATATAAATGAGAGGAAAAAAATCCTGTTTGATTTTTATGTAACAAAAATACAAATTGAAAAAATTAAAATAAGACATTGTCAAAAGACTGTAAAAAACCAGCAAGACAGATCATAGTACTGTCATCTCCTACATCAGAAGGGAAGAGTTTTGAGGCATTCTGACCTTCTCCCTCTGGGGACAGTTTGCTGCCTCAGATGTTTTCTGCCTCTCTGCTGGAGAACAGGAGACTAGAGAGAGACCTTAACCAACAGAACCGAACCATTCCTGATCATTTATTGTTAATTCAAGAAGCTTGGCTGAGCAAGAGTATACTTTCCTTCCTAGACATTTCAACTCATAGATGAACAAGATGGGAAGTGAAAACAAAAAGCAGACGGTAACATCATCATGCGTTCTTTCTCCTCACTCCTTTTCTGATCAAATTTTCCATCTGCTTCTAGTTGCTTGTACTCTTGATTTGTTTTAAATACATTCACCATTGCTCACTTTCAGGCAAATACTCCTGTACTCTGAGAGATACAGAGTGCTGTTGCCTACCTCCCGTGACGGCCAAAAGCAAAACCCTATCATTCTTTTTTGACTGGCACTCCCACTCACTTCAGCTTCCATTTAGAGACATCCTATTCGGTATAACTAGTTTCACAAACATGGCAAATCTCACATTAAATTAGTGTCTTCACCACTTGGCCTCCTGAGTGCCCTGTCTCTCAGTTACTTAGCAGGAACACTTGTTCTATATCATTATGTCTCAGCTTAATTTCATAAATTACTCTGGCACATGACCTGTGGACCTAATCACACAATTCAGCTCCTCTGAGCTCTGTAGAGATCCTAGAGAGAACCACAGAAGTGTAGTAGTGCTGTGGGACACGAACTGCAATACTGGAGCACATGCATACCAAATAAATTAGGGTAGAAATGCAGTCAGAAGGCTTTAAGGGCTAGAATTAGTGGTCATATGATAAAGAGAGAAACAGAAAAACAGGGGGAGGGAGAGAACAAAAGAGAAAGAGGTAGAAAGGGAGGCAAGAAAGGGAAATATTTAGTTATGTAGTATAAGCAATAGCTAGTAATAACTACTGCATCTTAATTAGTATGATTTTTAATATTGTAACTTACCATCAATAGCCAATTTGAGATCAGTCAGTGTACTTCGGACTCTTGATATAACATGTTGCATGCGGTCAATTTCTTGACGGAGAAATATGTTTATGGGTTGAATAGCTCCCATCTTTTGAAGCTGGGCTTTCACCTAAACAAGAATGGTGCAATAATTATAAAACTTAGTCTCCTGTTTCCTGTGCAATAACTTTTGAAAAGGATGGGTTTTACAATTGTATCTCATAATTACTGAGAAAATAAACTTTTAGGTAACATATGGCCCAGAAGTCCTGTGTCAACTGTAAGATTTAGCACACTGCGACTCATTAGCTTACCAAAAGGAGCTCCTCCATTATTCTAAGGAGGGAAAGCTCCCTCTTTTTGAAGGGACACAGCAATCCCTTCTGGCCTTGTTAGGCTGCAGGGTCTTAGATCTTAAAAAGAAACACACATGCTGAACAAAAGCATGTTCGATGGTAACTTCTTCATATTTCCAAATTGTGCTAGGTGAACTTCCTCACCTCTTCCTGCCCTGCTGAGTTGAAATAATGCCACAAATGGAGTTCGACTCAACTAGCACAACGATATATAAAAGCTGCTACTTCCAGTAGCATGTGACTCATAAGACAAGGTGCTCATGGATGCATTACTAGAGAGACAGGATTGCCAGGAATAAAACAGATGCCACAGAATTCTGTTAGACCATTATGTGGATCATTTTGTAGGTAGAAGCTTTTGGCCTTCTTGGGTTTTAAGGATAACAGTTTCACACGTATTCAACAGAGAACATTTTCCAAATTGAATTAGCTGTCTATTTTACTTCAGGACATGTCACATCAACAGTAGCAAAAGTATTCCCTGTCTCACTTTAGCATATGATGCCTAAACAATATGCTTCAGACATACACTGTATGTCCATGTATATGAAAGATCACTGTACACAACAGTGCACGAGAGGATTTAGTGGCACCTGCAGAAATTGAGGTGCCTATACCTCACCACCAGAATTCTTAAACAAAATTTAGATTTTTAAGACTTTCAAGTGTTTTTCCCTGCTATGACTCAGCTTTCAGAAAGCCAATGGCCTTCTCTCTGTATTCGCTACCACTCAGTCACATGCATCATCTTTCACACTGAAGCAGACTGAACCCTGATCTTTGCCAGAGTCACGCCTTCCCTCTGTAGGTGAAATTGTGCAAGGTGACTCTGGAACCAAAAAGAGATCTCAAACAGTAAAATAAGATCCTAAATCCAGATACCCATACAGTCAGTAATTTATCATAAAAGAGCTTACTCACAGGATCAGTTTGCTAAAATGTTTTAAGAGTTTACTTTGAGCTTACTAACAAAAGACAAAAAAAGAGTTAGAAAGTCTACTATTTCTAAGAGCAGAATGTCATCAGAATTCTACTGCAGCCAAGTACGAGCCACAAGATTTGGTATAATGCGTACTATTTCATTAAGGCCAGAAGTCCACTGGATTTTGCTTTGTGTTTTTCCAGATGTACTCATATATTTCATTGTATATACTATTATGTATACTATACATTATATACACATAGTAAACATTACCAAAGATCTTATTATTACTCTGAAGACAAAGTTTCTGTGAGATTAATATAATATAGCAATTGAGTAGTTATAATTGCCAGTATAAATGGGTAAATGCTTTGACAATTTCCAATTCTCAGGTTGCGACTCCAAGCCAAATAAGATACTCTTTTCCAAGTTTATATGCTATTCTCCTTGGGAGACAGCTATCAACAAGATTATTAATCATATTTTAATCACAAGGACCCATGAGTTTGTCAGACAGAATGTCCAAGAAATCGGTGCCAGCCAATTATGCTAATGCTTTGCAGTGTGACAGTTCATTTTACAGACTGAGTTAATGGGTTTCTTCCTGTAAAAGAGAAAAAAACTACTAAAATCAGCTATCGTAAGACTAGAGCTGAAACAAAAAGCTCTTTTGAGATAATTTACCCAATGAAGTAATCTGAATTTTTTTAATATAAAATCCCAGGAAAGCTTCTGCTTTCTGAAAATTTCACAGGAATTGATAATTATCCCTCTTTCCAACAAAGCAAAAAATTGAATTTTTTTTTCAGAATACTTAGCAGTCTAGTGCATGCCACTAATAAGAAGGGAATTATACAAAACATAATCCATGCATTTTATCCTCTAAATAAAAAATACATTTTTTTATAGTCTGCAAGGCTTGTGTTCTTTTTGGGGATCATTTAGAGGAAGAATTTCTCCCATTTGTGGAAAAGTTGTATGGGAGATGTTGTTAAAGGGGTTATTTTCCAAAATATTGATATTTATGAACCTACAAATAGAAGATTAAATAAATATTCTAAAATATTGCTAACCTGATAATTGTTCAATTTATTTAACTAGTGAATTACCAGAATTTAAATATTCTTCTGATTTGCTTTCATGTACCTAGAAAAATACCTGTAATGTTTTGAATAACGGAGTGAACCAATAATGCAGAAATTTGTTAATCCACCCTAGATAAGTTCACAGCACAGAGCCTGGAGCACCAAGAATAGCCAAATATGAAAAACTCAAAAAATTGACATACTTCCTGCCTTATTGTATACAGATCAATCCTTATCTGCAGTGAGATTTATTTGCTGTAGCACAGGGTCTTTCTTGGAAATCTTGCTGTTAAAATTGGTTTTAAATACCATCTTTGAGGTATGATTGACTGTTTTTGTATTGGAATTTTATCAAGCAATCAGATGAATTACTTCCAGTGCTGTATTCCATAGAATCATAGAATGGTTTGGGTTGGAAGGGACCTTGAAGATCATCTAATTCCATCCCCCTGCCATGGGCAGGGACACCCTCCACTAGCCCAGGTTGCTCAAAGCCTCATCCAGCCTGGCCTTGAACACCTCCAGGGATGGGGCATCCACAACTTCCCTGGGCAACCTGTTCCAGTGTCTCACCACCCACACAACAAAAAAATTTCTTCCTAATATCTAATCTAAATCTACCCTCTTTCAGCTTAAAATCATTACCCCTCATCCTGTCACTACACTCCCTGATAAAGAGTGCCTCCCCATCTCTCCCGTAGGCCCCCCTTTAAGTACTGGAAGGCTGCTGTAAGGACTCCCCAGAGCCTTCTCTTCTCCAGGCTGAACAACCCCAATTCTCTCAGCCTGTCCTCATAGGGGAGGTGCTCCAGCTCTCTGACCAATTTCGTGGCCCTCCTCTGGACCTGCTCCAACAGGTCCATGTCTTTCCGGTGCTGAGGACTCCAGAGCTGGATGCAGTACTCCAGATGGGGTCTCATGAGAGCAGAATAGAGGGGGAGAATTGCCTTCCTTGACCTGCTGCTAATGCTTCTTTTGATGCAGCCCAGAACACGGTTGGCTTTCTGGGCTGCAAGTGCATATTGTTGGCTCATGTTCAGCTTCTTATCAACCCAAACCCCCAAGTCCTTCTCTTCAGGGCTGGTGCTGGACCTTGTGCTTGGCCTTGTTGAACTTCATGAGGTTTGCATTGTCCCACCTCTCAAGCCTGTCAAGGTCCCTCAGGATGCCATCCTTTCCCTCTGGTGTGGCAGCCACACCATACAGCTTGGTGTTATTGGCAAACTTGCTGAGGGTGCACTGAATTATTATGACACAAAGAGACGGATCCTGACTGACAGAAAACAATTCAAAAGACAAAACTCACTAACCAAAATAGCTTTTCTGAGATTAATATACTCATTCCATAAAGCCCACTTATAACATCTCCTTTTCATTATGCTAACAGCTGTCATCCAACATAAACCAAGGTGATTTAAGAAAAGAGCAACTAAAATAATAATCTTAATAGCTTTGTCTACATGATTTTGCAATGCACATCTCTACTGTGTCAGATTCTTCTATGCACATTTCTTAGCTGTCCTCAGGTCACTAGCTCCTGTGTCACCAAATACTTTATAGGACACTCAGCAGAGAAGCAGTTGCTGAACTCATGCCATTTAATGATCAAGTTACTGTAGTAATAACAGTCTATTATTTTCAGAAAATATTATTATTTTCAATTAGACTTGGTTACTTGCTGCACTCTTTGTCAGCAGAAATGGGAATTCCAGCATTCTGTGAGATGATCTAAATAAGAGGCCTGAATAAGAAAGGCAAGCTCAAGGCATGTCCAAGCCAAAACTCTTTTCAAGTGGTGTCAAGGACCACTTCCCTGTTGCATACAAGGAAGCGGGTAGTAAAATATGTAGAAAATAGCTGAAGCTCTAGAGCTGGGTGACCACCATATCTGATAGGGCTGGTAAGTAAACCAGAGACACCTTACAAAGCATCATCTACATTAGTGTCTCAGCTCAGACCCCCCCCTTTTTTTTTTTTTTCCAGCAAAAAATCTGCACTGAAAAGTAGACTCCAGGCACACAAACTGGCTTAGTTTCAAATTAAACTAACCAAAAAGGTCTGCTTCAGGGAGTCTAACATACTCCAACCACTAATGGGTGTTCAGCCTACAGGCCCAGAGTAGAGTTAGATCAATGGTAAATTCCCCAATAAAAAATCTAATGCAGGCCCGGGGTCCTCAGACGAACTCCTATTCCCATGCAATACTTGCTAATGCAGTTATAGCCTTAGTGGAGAATCAGTGAAATCAGTACTACAAAAAAAGTACGGAAAAAAAAAAACATTGCTACTTGGCTTAAAAGCCAACTTCCAATATAGTTCAGTATTTTTGGAACATTTCCATGTCTATTCCCTAGCAAGCTGGTTTTTTTCAAGCTGCAAGGATAATTTTCATTATAAACCCCTGTGTGTGATAGGCTGACATTTACTCTTGCATCTTCACTCACATGGACTGACTGGACCTAATCATTTTACCACTAATCTCTCTGTTACCTGTGAGGCAAGACCCAGAAGCAAAAGGGGACATGAAAGCAGAATTCTTATGCTGCCTCTGCCTTTAGTGTGAGAAAAATGAAGACAATTTTAGGTCACGAGGAAGGTTTATTTTGCTTTTCTATCACCTGTGTCAAACTGCAGTCTGATAAAGCATGCAAAGGTGACTTGTTTTGTTTATAGTCTTTTGGGTGGACATTGAGTCTGTTATTTGACTGGTGAGAGGAAGTATTACAGGACACACCAACAAAAGCAGCAGCATATACCATGGGGTAAAATGGTTGCCCTGTTTGTTGGTTCCAAAGTCATTGCCAAAGGCTAATAATTGAGAAATTAAGGCTTCTGTGTGACAGCCTGCATTTTCTCTAGATTCACAATGTTATCAAGAGAAAGTAAAATCCAGGGCTCTGAATGTCAGCAAATAATTGGTTTCAGTTTCACCCGTCCCTAACCTAGTCTGTTGGGGTTTTAACTTTGAGCAAATTCACTCCACAGTTTCTAAAGGCAGCCACAAGAACTGATCAAAGATAGAAAAAGCACCTGCCACCTGCTTTTAATGATCTTCATTTATTTCCTAAATGTTGTGTTCCTTTGCCCCACTGATAGCATCTCTGTAACGGGATTTCCGAAGACTACCACGTCATGGCCTTTCTGGAGCACAATGTTCTTCTAAAAGCAAAGCCAAACTGCACTGCTAGGACTAATAAATGTTTTTCTTTTTACTGCTCTTATCCAATAAGGCATGCATAGGAACTATTTTTGACACATTCCCTCAGTCTCTTACAATTTAGTGTATTAGTTTCATTTGTTTCAGGTCTGTTAAACTGATCTAGTAGGTAATAATGTCCTGAATGACGAAACGCTGACCTAAATTGACAAACAACAGAACTCATCTCATTCTCTTTTTTCCAGACATCACAGGAAGTAATTACAAAATCCATTTCACTCCTTATACTTGTAGGCTTAATTTCATTTGCTTATTATATTGTAGCCTCTGATAAATTATGTTGCTTCTTCCCTCAGAGAACATCTGAACTCTCCCTTCTTTTCTGCTCTAATTAAATTATTGGTTATTTGTTAGTGAACATATTTTTTTTTTCTTTTGGTATTTTAGATATTCTTTTTTTTTTTGTCAGTTTATGCAAACTTTCATTTTAAAATTTAGCTTTCTTTACAGTCTGCTCCTGCCCTCTCCACCCTTTCTAAGAGGTTCCAGAGCTTCAGTTCAGATAAGAAACAGTTTTGATACACATCTTTTGCTTATTATGTAGAGGTTGCCACACTCCTGGCATCATAACTGCAGCAAAGGGGTGGAACTGGGCACCAATGGGAGAAAAGAGAAATTCCCCTCCAACGAAGCAAGCGTTGGTAAAGACCCCAGTGAGTTCTAAGATATAGAGGGTGAATCCATTGGGCAAAATTAAGAAGGAAATATTGAAGAATTGGGAACTGCAAGAAGTAATGTCAAATTGCATAGCACTGCAGAAGTAGAATCTGAAGCTGTGATGCAGCTGACACAGCCAGAGAGATGTACAGAGTCACATTATTATAAAAATAAACTGTTGGAAAATGACCAGCGGATGCTCTGTAATACTCAGAGCAAGGAAATGACTATCATGATACAGAAACAAAGAGTAATTTTTGGATGGTTCTGTTGAAAAGTACCGTGTCATCTGTCAGTAATGTGGACTGAAGAAACAGAGTGTAAATAGAGTGGCATGATTAACCAAAGAGAAGTGCAACTCAGAGATCAAGAAGTACAGAGCCTGAGAAAACTAGAAATCACCAGGAAGAGGTTGTGTCTACACTTACTGATAAGGGAATGAAACAAATGTACGTGCTGAGCTCAGAATACATTTACAAGAAATACAGGGGGAAAAAGTAGATCCAACAGGATATCCTCTGACTGTGCCTGTAAGAGTGAAGTGAGGGGAAGAGGGGGAACAGGCTGATGCTAATGTATTAATACCTAATACTGGTTTGTCCTGTACAAACATGAATCTCTACTTGAATCATAAGAGAACAGCTGTCAAGCAAATTGAAGCAAAAGAGGTTTCCTTGAAGCTCAGAGGAGATGTCAGAGAAGTGGTACAGAAGCAAAGAACTATCTAATTTTGTGAGCACCATTATAAATACAATTGCTTATAAGAAAATAAAAACCTGCATGTATGATTAGCAGATTATGAGAAAAGATAATAGCTTGTCATACTACTGAATGATGAGAGTGAAACAGCAAGGAAAATAATCGATGGCGAGTTATTTATACAGTCACATGAAAATGTATGTATTGCACCCAAATACAGTAGTAAAATAGAGACAAGAGTGCAGGGCAGAAATTTCAAAATAAAGCCTCCAGACTCTTTGTCCTTAACTACAGCTCCTGGCTCCATAACTGTTTGTCTCCAAAGCCAAGACACTCGGGGAAGTGACTGAAAAGGAGAGGCCTACTCTATGTGTGTTTTTTTATGGATAACCTGAGTGAATAAACCAAGATGGAATGAGTGCGAATGAGACCAGGCTTAAATAGAATAAATGGCAGAGAAAAATAGTATTTGTTCAAATCATTTAGAAGTGAAATTTGTATTAAATGAGTGTGTGTGGATTTTACAAGACTAAAAGGCACTGCACAGATTTCCCAGGGGTAAAATATGAGGGCAAGAATACCCTCTGATTACAACATGAAGTCCAGTACTATTGATATCTTCTAAGTATTATGAATTCTTCAGGAGGAAAAAAGTTGGCAGTTTAACAAAGGAATGAAGAAACACTCCTTTTGAGGATTTAGGAAATATATTTTTTTTTAAATTAGCTCAATATAACTATTACAAATATTGCAAAACCATATATGCTACCCAGGCATTCAATATTCTATTGCTGTTGCAAATTGAAAAACAAAATAATCTAAGGAGCTGAATAAGACTAGAAGAAACTAGTTCCATGTAAAAGCTTAACTATGATAGGAAGGATAAGGGAAAAGGACTGAGAACAGTAGTAAATTAAACTAGTCAATTAGTAAATTAGTAATTAAGTGTTATTATCATAGTTACCATAGTTCATTTTATTTGCTATTTTTAATATTTATTGACTATTAAATAATAATGTGAAAACTAGAAAACTGACACCATTCCAAATCAAATTCTACAAATAAATTATTCGTACACTATCACTGGCAATCACTCAATAAGCAGGCGACAAAAACTGAGACACAAGCAGGGATGGATGGATGGAAAAATAACTGTATGGAGAAAGCTGTTAGGAAACCTCACCAAAAAAAGCTGCAGATTGTAAGCAGCTCGGCAAGAGGGGAATGAAAAGAGAAGTTATGTGGTGAATTATGGCAGCACAGAAGTGGCTATTTATACAAGACCTATTAAATCTGAGATGAATAGTAGAACAAAAGAGAGGAAATATTGCCAGGGCCCCAAGACTACTGGTTGTAACTTAAGTTGACATTCTAAGTTAGTCAGAGAAGAAAAGAAAGTATAGCAGCAACTTGCAATACTGCATACTGGGCACTCTACAAGCTTGGACTGCAACCATGAAAAGAAAAAGCACTATCAGTTCAAAACAGAATTGCAAATAATTAAATTTTGGAAATGATGGGGTTTCAACAGTTACTGTTCATGAAACACATGGCAAAACAACAGATCCTACTTACAAACTGATGCAAGAGTGATTTATGCTGAATTTTGCCATTTAATGAGACTGTTAATGAAAAATGCAAGAAAAGATCGACAAATACATCTGTTATAGCTCAAACACTGAAAAATCTGGGGCATGAAAAGCTAAGTGATAAAATCCATTATTCATAATGGCAGTATCATAGTAAGAGTATGTAAATTGAAAGATGTAACAACTATAAGATCACTGATCCTTCAAAAAGAGGCACCAGTGTCCTTCTCTCAGCTACTAAGGAGGGCAAGAACTTTCTGAAGTCTCTAATGACTGTTCTGAGTCAAGGTGACTAATTAAGTGACTATGGCATTTGAAATATATGTTTCCAATGTAGGAATATTTTAGATAATAAACCAAAGCAGACTTATAAATCACTATGCATAATTTTAAGAGCTTTTTAAAACACATGCCAGTTAAATTTAAGAAGCACAACAAAACTTATAAAACATATGCATACATACATACATAAAACATCTGTATCTATAAAGCAGTATATACCTCATGAGAGTTATAATCTGGAGGTAACTTCTCTAGCATCTCATCAGCAAGGCGCTGCACCACTGCTTCTCGGGTTTCCCCTCCTCCAGTGCTGCTGTCTTTGGGCTGGATGCTAACTATTGTACTTAATGTCTCATTAGCCAGGTTAGTCTGGTAAGTTATATCTGCGTTGGAGTGAAGTCCAAATACCTTAAAGTAAAAGGGAAAAAAATACAAAAATATTTGAAATTTTTCTTCTAAAATTGTATCAATGAAAGAATCTATGAAAATGGATAAACAAGGAAGGAAAACCGCAGCTCTACAAAACAACAGATATGAATAGGTCAGTGGAAGTACACCCATTTAACTGGCAAAGGACCAAGCCCAAATTACAAAAAAACCATTAACATAGACTGCATATACAATAATGTTTTCATTCATATGAGTGGAGTTTTTTTAAACTCATCTTATTATCTTCACATAGCAGGCTTTGGATCATGCTGTGGAGTGCTATCAGGGGGTACAAATTGATTCCTTTCCACTGATTCAGACTAGAGCTTGTTGGAAACATATGTGGACACTGACCCCTCACCACTAGCTCTTTGTCTCTACAGATCTATCGCTGTTGTACCAGCTCACGTAGATGTCCCTAATCAGACCAGTTACCATTTCTAACACATTTTGTTTTACTCAGTCTCTTAGGCTTATAAGGGATGCAGCACAGTGAATAAAACACTGCCCTTATTGAAGTACCTAAAGATTTTATGACTGGTGATATATTCAGGATATTTTATGGCTATTTTTGGTTTACATCTCCTACTCCTTTCTTCCCCTTCTCCTGAAATTGAATTATTTTATTTAAGATACAGCCTGCACAGAATTGCTGCAAAGCAGCCCTTTGTCTGAATGATAATAGCTTTCTCAGAAACTTCCATTGAAATATCAGTAAGTCTATAGTTGTCAGCTTGACAATTGCAACTCTTCTCCAGAAGGAATTGTACTGTAACTTTGTTCACAAGCCCTCATCTAATTATAGCTATTAACTGTCTCTTACAAACTTTGAACGAGTGATCCAGCAATGAGGAAGGCTTGCCCTCAAATGGAGCACCAAACTCAAGCAATCTTCCATTTTTCATTTTTCTAATTTTTCATGTTTTAGATTAGAATTGGTATATTACAAGAAGACAGTTGTAGTAACCAATATTTACATACTGAGGACAGGATGAAAAGGGCCATATGTAATATTGTTATGCTTACAAATCTATAAACTCAGAGAGAAGTGATATAAGTGGTTGCAACTATGTCAAAGCCATCAAAGCTGCACTGATTTACACCATTTATGGATCTGATCCTTATAACAGCACAAAGAACACAGTACAGACCTAATACCGTGAGAGAAGGTGTGTGACTATAACTAGCAAGTAGGATTTAACATGTTTTACAAATAACAATTTACTCAATCTGAATATTTATAGCTGTAAAAAGTGAAAATATCAATGCACTTTATTTATTATGGAATGAAATACACATTTGAAGGTACACTCTTTTCTGCTTTTGCTCTTGCACAATAAGGGTTGGTTTGTTTGGTTTTGCTTTAGCAGATTTTGTGTCAACGCTGTAGTCCAAGTTAGAAACAATAAAAATATCTGCTATTGTGAATGTAAATTGTAGCACTAGTCCAAGGGCTAATCATAATTGGTGTAATATTGCCAAATGCAGGGATGTTACATGGGAGACATCTCTGGTCCTACGTTTTTGTGTAGGTGATGTATGGAGGAATAAGAACAAAGAAACCAGAGTAGTACAGCAATAGGTGGACCAATGTCCTCAATGTCCTTTAAATTAATCAAGCAGACAAATTTCTCATTCTTTTTGATCCAAAATCTCCGGGAATTTTGATTAAAAAGGGGATGTTGGATTCCGTCTTTCAGGTTTTTTTTTAGCCTGATAAATCCTCAAAACCAATTGCTAAAGCTCCACACTCCTCTGAAATCAAAGTAATTTTCAAAGGGATTGCCGAGTTCAATAGCTCTCTTCAGAAGTCAGTGTTTATTCTGATCAGAGGTTGAAGTTTCATCAAAAGAGCAAGCATTCAGCAATCAGATTTATTCAGTCTTGCTTTCTTAACCAAAAATGGAAAGAGGAGAAAACAAAGATACACTGTTTTGACTAGAACAATATCCTTGGCGGAACAAAGAGCACTGGGAGCTTAAAAGGTTAAAGGTTTCCATGAGCAATTTTGACACATTTTGGAATGACAGGAGAAAGTCATAGCTTTCTTCCTAACCTGTGAAAATGTGAAGGAGAAAAAGACGTTTGCATTCCTGGACTTGATCCTATTTACATAAAAGTCAAAGGTAAAACTCCCCTACATCAAACCATACATACAGATTTTTTACAAAATAATTTAAAAATACATTGCAGCATTGTGAGATAGGTTCCCAAGTGCTTAGAAAAGCACATCCATGAAAACAGCACCTGAAATCCGAGAGAGTCAAGGTTCACACCTGGATAGGAACCACGTCATGAGCTGGGCTCAAATGGATCCCACTGGTGCATTATTGTGGCTGTATTTACCCTCACTTGGAAAAGGTGCATTGTTGCCAGCACAAATACCCTTGCATTCTCCTTTTACTATCTTCAGAAACTCAAAACTTTTCAAGTTTATTCTATGACCTTGGAATCTTCTCGCCCTCTTAGCCAGTACATTATCAGTAACAGAAACCATTTTTTTTTGTTCAGTCCTGTCTATTTAATTTTAATAGAACCTACCTCCAAAGGCATTTAACAGCTTAATAGCAATGAGACATTAAACCAGAGCATTCAGTTCTGTTTCAATTTTAACTAACTTCATCACATGTTCCTGTATTAGAAGGAGCAGAAAGTTGCAGCCCTCCAATTAATGTGATCACTGCAGTATACACATACTGGGTCATGTAAAAGTGGTTGCTACCAGGAGCTACCCTGCACCCTACCCCATCAATTCAGGGCAACATCCAGATCTTCCCATTGTCAAAACTGAATAATCTCACAATTATAACTTGCAAAATGAGACCATATGGCTTTTTTCATTTTCACCAATTCTCAGTTCAAGTCTGCTCAATCCCATACAGAATTGCAAAATCAAAAAATAGTTTAGTTTGGAAGGGACCTCTGGGGGTCATCTAATCCAAACCAGGCCTGGAAGAAACCTCTGAAGAAGCTGAAGTCTGCTTTCCTGAAACCAAGGGCTGTGGTGCTGCTTTTGGCCCTGCTCCCTTCTGTTAGGATTCTGAACTCTACCATTGGTCACTGCAGTCAAACCTGCCTCTGGATTTCACATCCCTGACCAGTTCTTCCTCGCTCATAAGTATCAGATCCAGCCAAGCACCTTTCTTTGTTGGCTTCTCAGTTACCTGCCAGGAAGTAGTCACTAATCCACTCAGGAAATCTCCTAGACTGCTTGAACCCTGCTGTATCACCCTTCCAGCAGATAATTAGGGTCATTAAAGTCCTCCATGAGGACCAGGGCCTGTGAATATGAGGCTTCATCCAGTTGTTTGAGGAAGGTCTCATCTACCTCTTCCTGGTCAGCAGATCTACACTAGGTACCCACTATAATGATCTGCCTGCTAATCTTGGCCTATACTTTCATGGCTCTAGAAAATATACCCAATTAAACTACTTCTCTGACAAAAACTCTCTTAAATACTTTGAAATATTTTACCTCAGGTGTATCAATCACTGGCAATTGTTCAACGTACTGGAGATAGTCTTCAACTGTTTTCCCTTTTGGAATAACATAATCTTTGTAGAAACAAAATTTTTCACTAAACATATGCTCTCCAAACCACACTCTTGCATATGTATTAATCAGTGCTTTGTCAAGGTCATCAGTTACACGGCCACCATACTGCACTTCTCCAAGCATATAGCGAACACAGTTCCAGTTCACTCCATGTTTAATGTCCATATCATCCAAATGATTCTGAACAAATTGCACACTGGCTGCGAAGTCTGCCTGATTAAATTCATAAGGAATATTCCAGCCCAACGGACCAAACTTTCGTCTTTCCTGTAAAATAGATAAAGGCAAAAGGTTGATTGATAGTAATTTTGAAGAAAACATTAAGTGCAGAAGAATACATGCAATATGCTAAGAACACATTACTCCAGATGGGGTTGCATTTCACCAACTTTAAAAAAAAATTCTTCTTCTCTTAACACACACACACACACACACACACACATGGCCAAATGCTTGATTAATTATCTAATAGTTAAATATTTCTTCATTTATAATCGTCAGTAGAGAGACACAAACAAAGAATAGGAGTATTTACATTTTCAAAAAGAAAAAACCCTCTTTTTAAAGTGCAGTGAATCTGTGAGTCTAGAACAATATTTTTTGAATTTCAAAAATGAAGCTACTGTTTTAGGAAAGGATGGTCAAACTCATCAGCCGTGATCATTGTCCATGGTCCTCCTTTGGACTAGGTATATTTGTGCACTGATGTCTTTGCATGGTGCAGATGCAAATAGCAAAAGCTGCTTCTTACTGAATCACTTACAGATGCAGCTGACAGTATGTGGTTGTTAGGGCAATATCTGTTATTTAAACATCCTTAATTTCCACCACAAAAGAAGCAATGGGTCAAAGACAAGCACACCACAGGCTTTCATTGGACCACATTGTATCAGTGCATGGATGCCACTGAGTTAAATTAACTAGGCACCAAATATAAACTAAGGATACTGCAAAATCTATCAATAGAATAATGAAAAGCTGTGGTTAATCCATAAAGCACTTTCTTTAATGGAACTCCTGAAAGGCAAGAGTCAAAATAATTTTCCACCCTCATTTCGTCCTACAAGTTTCAGTGCAGGAAGGATTTATATTCACCTTCTTGGCCCTTCTCATTGTGAAAGTAGCAGTTTTAAGACCATGGTTTTCCAACCCAAGCTATAAATTTCTTTAACGTGCTTTTATGATTTAAAATATTAGTAAAAAAACAGCTAGTTGAAAGATCACACAACCACGCCCAAAGAATTTAACAGAAGAGTACACTAATTGATCATTGGTTGACTGTCCTTTTCTACTCTAAAATACCATCCCTGTTGGAGGCACAAGATCTACATGAGCAGAGTTCGAAGTTTTAAGACAGCTGTAGTAACAGTTGTTTTCTTTCTTATTTTATTTGTATTAATTTACCAACATGGGATTTCCATTTAAACATGTTTTTAATTTAATAACACAGTGCATTAAGAAATGAAATGTGGCTTTATGACAGAAGAAAAGGAATGTATTTTTAAACCTGAACAGTTGTGTGAAGAAATGCTACAGCATACAGCATTGGTTTCCACTCTGGCATGTTGCTCACTTCCAGGTGATCCTGAGTAACAGCTGAGTATGTTCGTTTTAAGCCAGCTTTCACACCTAGAAAATAAGTATAAAAATGTAATATGTGAACAAAAAAATGTATGGAACCCACAATTCCAACTTCTGTTAAGCAGAATTCTCTATTCCAATTTACACTACAATCTTATTTATAGCTTCAAATATCAAATTGATCCTCTTTGGATCAATTATCTGTTCAGCTAGCCATAGCAAGCAAACTTCAGTTACATTTTGTTTCAGGTAGATGACACTCCAAATTAAGTTGAGGAGTCTCGAACGAATTACAGTTAAGTAATCATATTCTAAAAGTTACCAATAACAACTGAAATATAAACATAACTATTTAGCAACTATATGGCAATCAAAAAGACACCTAACATCATATTAAACATACCACTGGATATCCAAGTGTTTGTGTTTAGATATTTACATATAAAATAAGACATTAATTCTCCTGAAGACAATTTTATTTAGATTTCATTCCTATAACAATCTCAAAATTCTGTATGCAGCTTCTCAAACTGGCATACAGGTACCAAGCTGATGAGATGAGAACCTAGTATTATAAATATTAATTAATATAAATTAATATTGAAAATACTAACACTTGGGGGGGGGTTGGTTTGAGCACTGACATTTCAAATCCCAGGAAAAGCTTTAGGCAGATGATACTGATACAACCTCAGCATCCACGGAATACGTAAGCCCCATTACTCCCAGATGGTTTCAGGCAGCATTACTGAAGCATCGTCTGCCTTTGGCAAGCAACACTGAGCATAAGTTACTGACACTAGGTCCCTCTTATGATATCTTCCACCTAATCAGCTCAACACAAGTCTAAAAAGACAGATTTCAAGTGCAGTAAATAGATTGTCCAAGTCAGCATACTTCCTATGACACAATCAAAACCCTTTTGCTTCTTTTCTACTTCACAAAGATCCTGTAGAACAATATTCAAACAAATAGCTTTTCAAAATATTATAAGGGTATATCATAAGAGATTTCAAAAATCAAGACAAAGTAATTTTAAATAGTGCCTTATCACATCATGCTACCAATGTGGCAGGACAGTATCAGAAAACTAAAACTGTTTGTATTTCATCCTGACTTAAATTGTTACACTGGGCATATTTCTATTATAAAATGCAAGTTGTAAATTGGCTATAACCTGACTTTAAAAATAGCCTCTTGGAGCTATAGGGTGTTATAATTTGGGCGATAATGAGGGGTCACAGCACAATAAAATGATGCTGAGCACAGAATTAAAAAGGGGGGGAGGAGAAGAGAAATAAGTAAGAAATTTTTAACAGCAGACTGATTAACTCTTCTTAACAGTGGAATATATACATTGAAACAGGATATCTTTCACAAGATCAGACATTTTGTAGACATCTTACTAATGTTCAAAGGAAGATGAATACTGAAATAAGAAGTTTAAATGACTGAGGCATTAAATATGACCTTAGATAAAAATTCTCAGCTCCTACTGACTTTATTAACTGAAATCCATGGCAACACATATATATAAATGAAGGGCAAGTTAATGCATTACACAGTTAAAGATGAGGGAGTTAAAAGACAACACAAGTGTCAGGCTTTAGAATTTCTTTCTGCCACAGTCCAAAATACAAAGTAACATTTCGTCATCATACATAAGTAGATTTATATCTACATACATGAGTGGATATAAGGCAGGGTAGTAAGTTGCTTCTATAGACATATAAAGGACATCTGCAGGTAGCAGCATAGTTTGGCCAAGAGAGGGACACCTTCAACGGCAGGACAGCAACAGGTTAGAGACTACTTAGAAGAGCTGGATGTCTTCATATGACAGAGAATAACAAAATAGTCGAGGTTGGAAGGGACCTCTGGAGGTCACCTTGTGCAACATCCCTTCTCAAAGCAGGGTCAACTAGAGCTCATTGCTCAGCACCTTGTCCATGTGGGGTTTGAGGATGGAGTGTACAAACTCACTAAACAAGCTGTTCCAGCATTTCACCACACTCACAGTGGGTTAAATTTTTTCGGATGCTGAAGTGGAATATCCTGGATTTCCATTTGTGTCCATTGCCTCTCTTTCTGTCACTTGGCACCACTGAGAAAAGTCTTGTTGTTTTCTTTACTCACTCCCATCACATATTTATGTGTATTGATAAATTACCCCTTCTCTCCTCAAGGTTAAACTATCATAGCTCTCCTGGCCTCTCCTCATGTCACGTTCTCCAATCCCTTCAGCATCTTTGTTGCCTCTCACTGGATTTGTTCTGTCCATGTCTTTCTTGCATGGGGGAGGTCAGGCCTGGACACACCACACCTGCTCTCAACATAGCTGACTAGAGAAGAATCACCTCTCTCAGATTGCTGGAAATGATCTTCCTAATGCAGCTGAGGGCGTTGCAGGCCATCTTTGCTCCAAGGGCATATTGCTGGATCACGTTCCACTTGATTTTCATCAGGAACCCCAGGTCCTTTTCCGCAAAGCTACTTTACAGCTGGTCAGCCCAATATTTCTCCCCAAGGGGAGTACTTGGCATTTCCCTATGTTGAAGTTCAGCAAATTCCCATCAGACCATTTCTCCAGTTTATGAAACTCCCACTAAACAACACGACCTTCTGGTGTCTTCCCACTTTGTATCAACTACAAACTTGTTGAGAGTGTGCCATCATCCAGATTACTAGTGAAAATTTTAACAACTGCTGGCCCCAGTACTGACCCCTGCAGTACATCAATGGTGACTGCTCCCCAGCTGGATTTGTGCAGCTGACCAAAACCCTTTGAGCCTGGGAGTTCACACAATTTTCAATCCACCTCACTGTCCACTTGTGTAATGCCTGCTTCATCAGTATGTCTATAAGGATCTGCTGGGGGGCTGTGTCAAAAGCCGTCCTGAAGTCAAGATAAACAACACCCTATCCTCTCCCCTCATCCACTAAACCAATCATCTCATTGTAGAAGGCTAGCAGGTTGGTTACCAGGCTCAAATAATAGTAAGAGTAAGTAATCTATTGCTTAAGAAATCCTAGCAGCCAGAAGAAAAAGCAATGTATATCAGTGTCAGATATTGTTCAATATCTTCATCAGCAGCTTGGATAAGGAGATAAAAGGCACCCTCAACAAATTTGCAGACAATACTAAATTAGAGAGGGTAGCTGACATACTAAATGGCAGAGCATCAGTCCAGAGGAATCTAGAGAGAGATGAAGGTTTTGCCAACAAAACCTGCATGAAGTTCAAGAAGTGTAAAGTTCTGCACCTGCAGCAGACTGATCCCATGCATTTGTACAAGCTGAGGTCTGCTAGCTGGTAAGCACTTCAGGATTATTGCAGATGACAGGTTGACTATAGGCCAAAATTGCACTCTTTTTGCAAATAAGGCAATCCAGATGGTGGGCTACCTTACAAGCAGCACAGCCAGTAGATTGAATGAAGTTCTTATCACTTTCCACTTAGCACTGATCAGGCTTCCCCTAAGACATATTGTCCATATTTGGCACACAAGGGAGGTGTGGAGAAACTGGATGGGACAATAAAGGTGGTCAGATACTAAGAGTGTATGACCTACAAGGATAGGACAAGAAGGCTGAGTTTGTTTAGTCTGTTGAAGAGCAGGCTGTGGTATGCACGGTTTAAATTGTGAATACTGAAAGGCAGTAGATAATTGTGTGCACATACAAGGGATAGTGGCTGTCCAAAACTGAGATTTTGAACCCTCAAGGACAAACCTGCTACTTGCTATCTGTGAATAGTACAGGCTGCAAAAAGTGAAACATGTTGAATCCTCCAATTCATACAGCAACATGAGTCAAAACTGCCAATTAGGACGCTGATCACACATTGTGCTTCTGCACATTGACTACTTAAGTTAGGAAAATTGGGCTTAGAGGCCCAGAATGCACGAGATGAACATCCTAGCTTGAGGAAACATCCTGGAAGCGGGGAAAGATCCTGGAAGTAGGGGAGATGCACAGTAGCTGCAAGTAGCTGCACAGCATGAAACCAACAGGACTTTCTGCCCAGCCTTCCTGGACCAGCAGCAATCTCTCCAATGGGAAGGGAAGTCAAGATGAAACGAGTGCAATACAGGAGGTTGGGAGCATGAGAGAGGGAGTGTGTAAAATAAGCAAGTAGCATAAAAGCCCTAATCTCATAATTTCTTAAGTAAGCCCCAGTATTCAGATGCACTACAGGTTTTTATTCACTGTCTTGCCTGTGACAGAGGCCAAGGGGTGATTCAGTAGCAGCTCACAAATACTTTAAGGACAAATACAAAGATCCTGAGATCAATCCCCTGTCAGCAGTGCCAGATGACATAATAAGAAAGAACAGACACAGCTACGTATTGTATCTTGGGGGGTTAAGGCTGGCTGTTCAGAAGAGTCCTTCCTTTTCCTTTTCCAGTAGAGCACAGGATCATTCCCCCTCTGCATCCTTGGATGGGATCAACAGGACAGAAAGAAAAGAGGGATGGAGAGTACTAAGCTTAAAAAAGGACCACTGACCTGGCATTCTCCACAGGTTCTACATGAACAACAAAATCACTGTCAATTTCTGTTACAAAAAGAAACAATATCCATTTTCTCCCAAAGAGAGTAATGCTTTACACATCACAAGACTGACTTACACAGCTGCTGTATTTAGCTAATGGAACAACAGAGAATAAAAACTAAAACACTGCACCGAGTTTAGCGATACAGGGGCATGGGTGAGCAAGCCCAAACCTCAAAAAAAGCATGATTTCCTACCTTGAGGGGGTTCATTAGTAAATTTGATAGAGGACTGTAGAAGATTAATAGGAAACTCTGTGTGAGCCTCTGTAGTGATCCAGGTCCTGAAACCTTCACTCATAGATTCTGTTGTTGTGATGGTGTCCATTAATTCACTAAGAAACTCCAAGCCAAGGTGGCAGTTCTGTAGAAGAAGCCATCCTCCATCTTGCATGCACTGATTCAACAGACGTCTTGCATGGACTTCTTGGCCTTGACCCATTGAAATGGCATGACAGGGAATGTTCTGGAAGGAAAAAATAAAGTTTCTTTTATATATAGTTCTTTAGAATGATTATACACATGATGCATTGCTTCTGTAGGTCCCTGTGTAGTGACACTGTGACACAAATAAAACCACTAATATCAGTGGAGACATTATATTAAAACAGAGTAAACAAAAAAGCAAAACTCTTCAAGTTGCTCTTATCTTGTACCTGCTGAAAGAAAACTACATCCACTGGACATAATTTCTTTTTGCAGGTCTGAAAAAGTCAATGGGATACAACAACTGAAATATTTTCCCTTCCTTTTCTCCACCTTCCTAAATAAAGTGGGACACACACTTAGCAACACAGCTGCCTGACTATTCTTTTTTGTATGATGTGGACTATCTTGAGATGGACAGATTTAAAGGCTTGACATAATAACTAATGCACAGAGTAAAGCCAACAATTTTGGTGTCTTTTTTACTGTTTGAACATATTTCTTTCATCTAACAGAGAACTGTCAAGGAAGCAGGCAGGGCTGGAAAGATTGGTTCACATTAAGTCACTCCTTAGCAAATATCCTGTATTGTTAATTAGAAGCTGTGGAGCCACTTATTCAGAGGATTACGGTTTGGTGATCCACTAGGTCTAGCTAGTTTTCTAGCTATTAGTGTTCTGGATTCAGAAGAGACAAAGCTTATAAATGTAAACACAAGAATTCTGGTAATTTATGGAGTCCTTCCTCCAGAGGCCATGGGAGAAGAAAGCCAGTTATTCAGAAAAACAGATGATACAAACTCTCACAAGCAGATCTGAAAAAGACAAGCTGGCTAGGTTGCAATCAGGACCAGACAAGTCTGTAAGCAATGTGCAAGTAGATCTCCTCTTGTTTATTGTTCTTACTACCCTTATTCTTGTTAAGTAAGTAGTCCTCTGGCTTAGGTTGGCTACCTGACTCTTACCAGGGAAAACCAGAATTATCAAACCCACATTATTCTATATACATGTTGAGGGCAAGGCAACTGATGAAATGACTTCGTTCCATGGACAGTTTCATGTTCATCAGCTCACAGCTGAGTATCCCTCATGCTGTGAGCGATGATCTCCATGAACACATATCAATCTGGGCCTACCTTCTGCTCCCTAAGAGCTACAAAGGCCAATCTTAAGCTTTCCTGCTACTGGAACTCTCTCACTGTGAAACAAAAAAGAAGTCAGTCTGAAACAGCGTGCATGAGGCTGCCCTACTTTTGCAGGAGAAAAAGGTTAAACATATGGACACAAGCTGTGCTGGGTTGTTTGGCCTTAGAGTTGGAGAACAGGCCCTGACATGATTTTACTGAGCAGTATAAATGCAGCTGCTGTATATGATCCTCCACATCCTGGCCAAAAATTTAAGGAGAAGAGAATGCCAAACACAGGAAAGCAGATAAATGCTGCTCTCAGGTCAGTAAAACCTGAAATTGCAGCTAAAAGAAGCAAAGCTAAACAGCCTTTGAAGTTGGCTATGTGCTGGAGGAGCAAAAACTTCACCTTTTCTACGATGTATCTGAGTACAGCTAGCACTCCCATAAGTCAAAGTCTATGACTGCTCCTGCAGAGTGCATAAATATTCAGCTGGTATATTATTCCCTAACAAAGCATCTGCTTGTAATTTACTCTTCTCAGCAATGTTACCTCTCAAAGGTACAGTTATTAAAGGTTATAGAAACATCAAGACAAGAAAAAAATATTTTTCACTATGGATTGTCCTCATTTTGCTCCTTCTGAAAGAACTCAATCAAAATGTCTGCATACAGAATGTTTCTCTCAGTAGTGAGTCATCTTAATATATCGCTATCCAGACAAAAATACTATCATTTTAGTCACTACTGTGGCTGTGACAGTTCTGTTGAAGGTTTTGTGCATCATTCCCTGAAAGAATAAACTATCTCTGTCATAATAAAAATATCTGCTTTTAATGAAGTCAAAGTGCTAGGCATAATAAACTTTAAATTCAGGAAGTTACATTTTCACTCCATCTTCAAGTGAAAGTAAAGGGGGCAGAAATCCAACTAGTTTTAAGATAGAGCTTGCTTGGTTTATAAACAAGGTTCTATAGCTCAGTAGTCACAGATACTGTTTCCATTTCTTTGGGAGAAGGCCAACTAAACAACTGAATTTCGAGTGTAAAATAAATTCTGGTCACAAATTTGAACATTTCCAACTGGAGATAATTGATTTTTATTGCTAATATCATACTTAGAGGTACCATCAGTACTAACAATCCATTTTAAGACTACAAATCATGCCTGTAAAAGGGAAATCACTGAAAAAATAGGCCTAGCATGTCTTTTGGAAGTTTTCTATCATTAAAAAACAAACAAACAAACAAACAAACAAACAAACAATAAATAGGATACTTTGGAGGTATAGAATCACATATATACCGAGAAGAGATCCTTGGTACAGCTAACCTATGTTAAATCAAAATTTATTCAGTAAAAAAGCAGAGAAAGCCCAGACAAAGACATGAACTAAGTACAATTTATTGACAAACTAGCAAAATAAACACAAAGCTCTCTTGCAAATGTTTCTGAAAACTGCACATGATTTCTAGATACATTTTTCAAAAGCTGGAGAACTACTGAAGAGCTCCTCAAGTCCCACAATGTTAATATACATTTTTACTTTAAAAAAAAATCTGTTTGTAGTTTGATTTGCAGAATTCGGATGGCTTTTGTAAATTTGAAAGGTTTCTATATGCTGTATGGCAAGATCTTTACTTCAAGAGATCATACAAGAACTCTACAGTTGAACATTACAGTCAAGTTCACATTTACAGTTGACACTATAGTTGAACTTCAGGTTATGACAGCCTAGCTGATACTGAGTTGTTCATAAACCATGTGTGAATAAACAAGGCAATCCCATTCGCTCTTTTGCAACCTCACTTTCTGTTACTCTATATATGTTTCCTTAAAGCAGGAAAACATACTAAAACTGCCCACTGCAATATACTTTCAGGATGACAGCAAAAACGGCTGTCTTTTAACAGTCACCATTACAGAGCACCACCTACCTTCCAGCACTTCCCCAGACAGGCTAAGGTCTTGCTCAAGATTTGACAGAATGGGAGAGCATTTTGTTCCAGTCCTTGCAAGAGTGACTTTAAGTGACCAGCTGGCTTCAAGTGACTCTCTTAGGAGGTTAGTGTCCTTCATCCCCTTACATGGTCAATGGGATAGAAATACTCAACTCCTTGATGCAAGTCAGAGTTAAGTTGCAATTGTGTGCTCTGAATTGCTTTCAAAGGAGACACTCCTCTTTATTGATTACAGAAACTAACTCCTACTGGAGACAGGGTAAGTACCTATCTAGGAGTCCATTTCACAGGAAACATATGTTGAAGAGTGGAATAGGTGAATGAAAACATCATCACAAAACTCACACTCCATTTGTATTCATACCATAGGCCATGAAAACGGAAATCCAATCACAACCATCTAATGTGTTTACTTGGACTTGAAAAGGGACTGAAAAAATGAAGTTAATTCCAAATCTTTTATGAAATCAAAATGTCTCTCATATCTTAGGAAAAGATAATAGGCTATTTTGTGAATAGGAATAAAATTGTTCTTCCAGTGAATTGCTTCCAATAAACTTAAAAGTGCTGCTCACCCAACTGCCGTCCTTCTCCCTTCCTGCATCTCTATATTGGCTGGCTATCTGGCTGCACAGTTTTTGGGGGCAAGGATCACATCATCAACTTCAGACTTAAGATTCCTAAGTTTAAACACTCAAGCGACAGTTAGATCATAATTTAAGCACCCTTCATCACAGTCAGACAAATAAAATAAGAGAGTCCTGATTTTCAAAGAGAACAAGCGTCTAAACCTTCTAATTAAGCTTAAGAGATTTGTGGGTGCTCCCCACTTTTGCAAGTAAGTTTTACCTAGTGCATACCAAAATCCTGCACCTCTAAATGAAGATGCATTATAACAGGGAGGAAAATTTATGGATATCTACTGTAAATAACTTCTTGTTGGGAAAATTATACTTGTATCTGCATTCTGAACCATAAAATATAAAGCACAGTGTGGTGCTGTAAGAAATGCTGAACGTCTCCACCAAGTGGACTAATTCAATGGTAGGGTCTCCAAATTAATTTCTCTTGTCACCACATTTTTGACTTTTTTTCCTGTATCTTCCTGTAATCATCATTACTGTCACCTCCTACAGTGAATGTGACACAGTGTAAACCACAAGTATTGCTTTGTTCTTTTAGCTAAGTAGTTTCACTAAGTAATGGACTAACATAGTCTGCTGGATAAAGACAGAGCTCCTTGGAATCAAACAACTGGAATAAGCAAGAATGTAACATTTCCCTTTCCTCTGTAAATGCATTTTGGCTACTTGTCCCAAATTCACCTCCAGAGAACACTGGTATGAATATAAATATCATAATCCAAAGTTCTATAGAATGTGGAAATACCATTTCTAGTTTAAAGAATAGTTTTAAATGTCTATTAGCTCTAGCAAAGTCAGTTGAGGAGGATACCTTTGATTTTGCAAGACGTTCTATATTTTCAGTGGGGTCAGACCCCACAGACAACAAGCATGTCAAAGGTGTTCGACAGTCACTTTCTGTCCACATTGCTTCCATTTCAAGTATAAATCCTTCTGCATATTTCCCTCCAAGAGATTCTTCAATGTAGTGTCGAGCCTAAAAAAAAAAAAAAAAACCCAAAACAAGTTATATACCTTTTTTTTTTTTTTTTTATTTAGTATTAATCACTGATACGGAATTTACCAATTTACATTTGAAGGCAACGACTTTCTAAACTTTCATTGTTAACTTTGGTGTAACAAAAGTTACAGTCCATAGGGGCAACCATTGAAATTCTCAGACAGCAAACTTCAAACAAAGAAAACAAAGAATTCTGCTCACACAACAGCCATCCTGTGAACAGTGTTGCTAGAGGATGCTAAATGGCTTTTTGAAAAGAAGAAATTAAGGCAGAATAGATCCACTGTAGGCTCCGAGGACAGCCCAGATATTGCCCCTAAATTACTGACTTCTAAAGCTTTGTGGATAGCCAAACAAAAGAGTTTAAAAAAATCATTCTTAGCTCCTCTAAGCACATACTGTTGACACTGTCTCTGCAGCATAGCAGATTAGACAGATCTTTCATCTGACCTGGTTACAATCTTCCATATATTTGTTGGAACTTCAAACAAATTCTCCTGTCCAGTGGTTATGCAATTCAAGTCTCTTACACTGAATATCTATTTCTACAACACATAAACACAGCTCAGACTTTATCCTTAAAGGTCAAACCTTCCCTATGCCTCTATTGTCCTCTTTTCACAGACGTTTTCTAAAAGAACTTCTAAAGATATCCCGGTGTATGAAACACTTTTTTGACTGACATGATTCTCCAACTGTGTAAACTACTAGCACAGATTCTGAGGCATGTATCACAGAGAGAAACACCCAAGAACAAGGTAGACTGAGGAAGATGCCAATTCCAGAAAAAATGATTCAATCATCCACTATTAAGTGTAACTTCTGCCCTAGCAAAGAGAGAGAAAAATTCATAATGCTTGGGGAAACACAAAAGAGATAAAGAAGATAATAACAAAAAGGATCCTCTCTTTCCTCAAAAATTAAAATAAAATAAATTACATTTTTTTAAACCACTGTTCAGAGACATTCTCAAAGATAGTTGTGCAAGACAGTAAGAGTGTTGATAAATGAGCAGCAGCAGCTTTATTATTTGGTCTGTTTAAATTGTGGTAGATGGAGCTCCCATACTTCTCTTATTTACCATCTGAAGAGAAAAGGAGGAAGGATGGAAGGGGTCTTGTTGAAAGAGAATTCCATGAAAAGATGGTGTCCCCTAAATATAACACAGATGCTGTCATTCAACATGTAAAGTTGAGATATGCAGAAAATCAGAAGTACTACTTTCCAGTGTAGCTAAAGACAAAAAATTGAAAAGAGGATACCCATGGGCTCATACATGTCTTTTAGACCTACAAAGAGAAGAAAAATCCAAATATCACAGGCTGTGGAGAAATTGCTAGTCTATTGCACTTTCTTTTATGATATCTGCCCGAACACAGTCTTAATTATTCTCAGCATGGAGGGTAAACAAACAGCTTATCTGCTATTCTAGGGCACCTGTCACCAAAGTGAACTGTTCTCTTTCCGCTCCTTCTGTAAAAAAATAGGTAAGTATCTTCTGATTCACTGCAAGAATGCAACTGCTTTACAAGTTTCATGACTCTACTTTAGAAGCACCACACAAAAAAATTATATTCTTACAGCTCCAACACAATTTATTTCATGTTTTGCAATGTCCTTTCTAATTCATCAAAATTAAATCAATCAATATTTCTTTAACATATATTTATAATATGGTTTTCAAGATCTGATTTTCAAAATAGCTCACTCTGCAACAAATATTACAAAAAAAAATATTCAGAGAACATCAGTTTGGAACTAGCAGTTCTACAGGAGATGCCACATGGCATAACTGTTGTACGAAAGCATATCTTACTTGGGCAACGGTATGATCAGGGCACCAGCTACGGACAAGAAGCAGTTTATGGAATTGATCCAGTAAGCTGTCATACCCATCAGGAATAACAGCTTTTTCAGGTGCTTCTTCATCAAACCAAGCTTTCCAAGACTTCTCATTCCTAACAATTTGCACCAGAAGTTGATTAAAAGGGTACAAGGTAGATAACTGCACAAGATTGAGCCATGTCATGTCAAGGATCCACTTTTTTGGTTTCGGTTCCACAGAATTCAGATCCAGATTGGCGCCTCCTGCATAGAGAAAAATATTATAGAGGAAAACAGCCATTGTTAAACAGAAAAATGACAAGTAATAAAAATTATTTATGTCTATAATTCAGGGAGTAAAATTTTTTGTAAACCAGGACACAAAGACTGAGAGTTTGCATGGAACAATCATTAACAAAGACCTACTGGGGAAGTGGCCTCAGTGCCTCCCAAATCTGATAACCCAGGAATATTTGTACTGCTTTTTCTCCATCTGTAGAGCTGGAATAAAACTTGCCTACCTAAAAGGATACTCAAACCCAAGTCTTCTAACCAGATGTAGAAAGGAGCTACAATTAGTCCAATCTCCCTTTACCTAGACTAAAGAATAAGAAAGTACATGGTGCATTCATTTCCAGGACGGCACAACTTCAACAGCCTCTTATCTCATCCACCACTCCAGCATCATGCCCATTCGCACCTCCAACACAGCTGAGTCACAGCTAAACATTAAACTGGTGTTTGCAAAGCAAACGGAGATATTTGGATGGCAAGTGCCTGACTGTACTTATCGCGGTACTTGATCGTACTTATCATATCTTGAAGACAGTGGGGTCCCCTCCCATCAAATTTTATAAACTTTACTAAAATTTTTCTTTGTCATTGTGCCTGAGTAGTGACATGCAGGGGTGGCACAATGAAATGCACTATAATGTTTTACAACATGTAACAGATTTCCACTTCTTTTATACTGACACTTACATGTGGTACAGAGTCCTCATGTATTCACATGCCTGCTCACCAGCCATCAAAAGAGATTTTGCTGAGTGTCTCCAAGCTCACAGACATAGGTATGTGGCAACTCAAAAAAGAGGCACCCGGGAGAAAACTATAGGGTCTCTGACAAAGTAATAGAATTTTTTTTTTTTTTAGGTTTTGCAATGTAAAACCATTAAATATCTTAATCTAAGCATTATTTTGATAATAAATAATCTATATTGCTCTTGTTTTGGAAAATTTGTTTCCTTCTTGGGCTATATATGCTTTCACTCACCAGTCCACTGGATACAACACGTTAGTGCAAGCACTATAAAATCTAAATTTGGCAGTTCACAGACATATGTGAACAGGAATATTTTTAGAGAAATTACCTTTGATCAGTGTCTCAAACTCAGTGTATGAAATCTTCTTGGCCTGCAAGTCAATCTTCAGTGCCAGAAGCAACGTAAACAGGAATCTGTGATTTTCATACAGCCCTCGAACTGTGTACTTGAAGATTTCATAGGTGAGATGCTCGATTATATATATTACTCTTTTTGCTGTGATCTGAGATTTCTGAGATCTTTCCACTGACAGGTCAAAAATACCAAGGAACTGCCGTAAGGATGTTTGGTACATGACATTAACCAAGCTAATTTCCACAAGTAGGAAATAAAGGATGCTACCACGACCAGCAACGGGCCGATATTCTTCACGTGCAGTATTGATTTTCACCTCTGTCTCCGCTGCTATGTTTAATTTTTCACTGACCTTAAAATTAATGGAAAAGACCATGAAAATTAAGTCATGTCACTTGTGATTTATACCGCACAAGCAAAAAGAAAAGTTCTTGATTAAGACCACAATGGTATTTTTAGTCAAGCTTTGCTTCCTTCTGTCAGTGTTTCAACACAGACATTGTGTCTTCATGTGTTCAAACACCAAGAACACTGGGATTTGATTCAAACTTACACCTGCAAAGGATGCCTGGAATACAAAGCAGTATCCAGGCAATAGTTTAATTTTGCAACATTTTATGAAGAAAAAATTATAGTGTTTCTACTATTTATTTGTTAAGAAGTCGGATGTTATATAGTGCTTCTAAATGGAAAAAACAAAACCAGAATAAAAATCTGTCTATAAATAATCTTTAAATTACAATCATAAAATGTATCTGCAATGCATTCAAAATTCACCTCCTCTGCTGTTGTTTTAGTGATTCTTAGGACTTCTATCAGAGACTCATCTTCAACCAAAGAGCCTTCTGTACTGGTTAGACGGAAGAGTAGATTATCTTCAAGCTCCTGCATTTTCCTCTTGTTAGATGTCACTTCTTCCATCAGTTTGACCCTTTCTGCCTCCAGTTCCTGTATTCATAAATTTTCCTTAGAATATTTAAGATTAATTCAAAGAAAAATTCCTTATAATGACACCAAAAACATGTGATTTCATGCATTATAGATTGGAGGCTATGCTGGTTTTCCTATACAAGACAGAAATATTATATACTGAAGCAATTTATATGTATACTGCATTTATTTGACTAATGCAGCATACTGAGGAGTGAAAACACATCAGAACTACCAGGACAAGCTTCCTCATAGTAAGATGTGCAAAGCACTAAAGCTAGGTTCCAATGGGAAGTAACAAAAGCCACAGCACATTAAGTACTTAAATCAAAGGACTGACAGATGCATTGTATGGATGGATTTTATATTCTTAGGGAAGTTGACTAGATGACCTTTTCAATTTCTATGATTCTGTGACTTTGCAAGATACACTCCTCCACTACTTATAAAATAGGAAATGTTACAATTATCATCTATGTCAGAAGGAATTTTTACGCTATTTCTACAAGACAGACAATGGCAAGGGAACAATGACAGCCAAGTCAACACAAATGAGGCATCTATACTGCACAGTCCAATACAGCTCAGGGATACCCTTGTTGGTACCTTTATTTAATCAATCTTCCTATAAGAAAAGGGTAGTTAACAATACCAGTCTTCTACACCTATGGCTTCATTCTTGTCAGCATGCCAAGTTAGAGGAAAAAGGAGATGTAGAGTTATACAGTATGGGAGAGGCTCTCCTGTATTTCAAAGAAGAAGTGACAAAATTCTTTACTCTCACAAACCTCTTATTTGGAAACCTGTATGTAATATATTCTAGGGCTATAGAATGTAGATCTGTGGAAGCTACAAATAACTGCATCCCAAAAGAGGACAATGACTTAGGCATCAGTCATTCAGCTTCAAATTTTCTGTGTTTTCTCCTCTTTCTTTACCATTAACACAAAAAAATTATAATTACACAAAAGAAGTAGTTCTACAGAACACTTAAACATGCATTTAAATACATGATTAAATTCTACTTAAGGACATGCTTAGTATAAGAACAGGCACCTCACTCATTCTATTTGTAAGCCTGTAAAGAGTATCTTTCAGAAAATTAGCAAATATACCAGATGCCAGGCTTTTGTTTGCAAGAGAATTTCACAACCGCATTTGTAACATAAAAAATAGCTGTTCTGAACACAAACAGTGGCAGCGACTTCATTATCAAAATACAAAAAGATATTTTTTTTTTCATATAGTTACAGGAGCAACCCATACAGCTTAGAAGAATAAACACTTCTCTGATAGTAAATTTCATTGTTCACTATAGCAATCTTTAAGAATGTCTCAGTTCCTTTAATCTATTACTTTAGCTCAGTGATCATAAACTTGTCTTGTTTGCAGCAGAAAACTTGTTCTTCAGATTCTCTGTTCATACTCTGTCTTTTCTTTGAACCAAATTTATCAGAGCTCCATTGGCTCTGGCTATCGGCACCAGGACATTCATCTCTTATTGAAATAGAAGAGGCAGAACCACAATGCTTTCTTCATATCTGCTAAAGGAAAGAAGTTTAATAAATGTTGACCACCTGCAACCATGTCCCTGTGCATCAAGTAGTGCTGATACTAACCAGCTACCCTTGTAGCTCTCTTCAGCTGACACACAGCATTTGATGAATATTTTTCAGTGACTATATTTCTGACCCAAAATGCAATCTAGTTGTTGCTACATACATTTAATATGAATTTTCTAACAGTTTTGTCCAGGAAAAAAAACCTTAAAACCAGAGTGAGAGTATCTGTGTGTGGGGAAATGAGTTTTATATGTAGGTCATGAGAAACCAATTCTATCTTGATTTAAACCTCTGTCTCCCATCAGAGGTAAGTTAGTCAGTCAGGACAGTCCCAGCCACTCCTGCTGATGCTGTTCAATTTTGTACATAAACATACATCTCCTGGAGTAAAGATTAAAAGTTTTGCCTTCCTAACATTTGTCCCACCCTGCTAATGGATAGCTTTTCCTCACTACCTGTTGTTGTAGCTTTTCCATTTTTCACGGAACAATTCACAGGAAGTTTGGGCACAACGATAACTTTCTAGCCTCTGGCTGTGACTGTCAGACTGAAGGAAGGGCACTTAGATTCCAGTCTTTAATTCAGCAAATGCTTGTTTGAGCAAAGTGGAAAGGTGTTGGCCAGAGAAAGTGGCAGCACCACTAAAGCACACTGGGTGGAACATGCTTTGGGAAGTCGAAGGAGGAGGAATTAATTCCTTCAGGTGGGGAACTGCTCTCACATGAGCAACCCTACATGAGTTACTTACTGAAAGCAGCAGCTCTGCTAATCCAAACCTTAATTTTTGTTACTTCTCTCACAAATACACAATTATGAAATGTCCCATTCAAAATAAGTAAGTCATTCAATTTGATGTGAAATACAACTTCTGTGCTTTCACTTTAACGAGAAAGGAAGAAAAGATTTCATTTATTGTAATTGGACCATAACATTCATGTCTTTATCGGTATGACTGCCGCAGTAAAAAACCCACCTTTGTCCCCAGTGCCTATGATGAATTGACTTCTAAGTTACGGATAACCAGGCTGTTAAATTAGATAACACAAAAATAAATAGGAATGATCTAGCAATTAAATTGTTGTGGGTGATGTCTCAGATTTGATATTATTAAATAAAACTTCTGAAAAACACCTGAGAGAAGATTTTCTTCCTTTTATTTGCTTCCACATAATCAATGGAAATTTTAGTAAGAGAAGCATCAAGTCAGTGTTAAGGGCTCCTTAAAAATCTCTTGCACACTAGAGCCTGGCTGGCAAAAGTAATTTACATTCATAAACATTTTTTCATGTAATTTGAATTAAGTTTAAAGAGGAATTCAGAAATAAAAGAGGTTTCTGACTGAACAAGGAGCCTTTGCTATATATGAAGGAATAAAGATGCTTTATGTATATCATGTATATGCCTGTGATGTATTTTTAATGAATAACTCTCTTTCTTCTCTTTCCAAGGATGGATCTTCAAATAAATGTTTAGGTCCCTCCATTCAATTAAAAAACAGCTCTACATTGTCTTTCAGTAAATGCACAAACCCCTAAACTTTCATTCACATTTTTGTTCTTGCGTTTGATTTCAACCAAGACATTAAATATATCCTCTCCTGGTGCAGATATTGAACAAGCCTTCCCTCTATACAAATATTGCAAGCTACTAGATACCTGTTTTTCTGTGAGGATGACGCGGCCAAGGAGCTGATCTTCCAGCCCTTTCATAGTAACAGTAAAGTCAATCACAGTTGTTCTTGCACTAATTTCTGGAGTATAGGCAGGATTAGCCAATTTTGTTGTCATATAAAGGGTAAAGCCCTTCATCAGATCTACCTCCTTGTCACCTATTTTCACCTGAAAATAAAACATATTACTCAATATTCAAAAGCTGAGTTCAGAAAAACAGTTCTTTTATCCAGTGAAAAAATAGATTAACTTTTTTTTTTTTTTACATTTTCATTAACACTTCTTAAACTTTCTGCTTAAATTCAACCCCATGAGTTCACTGCTCATCTTAGTGTTGCAAAGGTAAGTATTTCGGCAGTATTCAGACCACCAGATACCCAGCTTTTTAATTTAATGTTCACAATTCATCTTACTTTGTGTGCTGAACCAGATTTTATGAAATTTTTTTCCAAGATGTTATCTAGAGCAGGATCGAGTTCCTCTCCAACATCTTCAATTAACAAAGGTCGGCCAAGGGACAGGCATTCTTCTATGTGACTTCTGAAGAACTTGTGGTTCATAGCTGTGACCTAGGAAGATTGGTTCACAGTACAGCACGCATTTGCAAGCACATAGAGAACACTACAAGATCTATTGCAACTTTCAAAAATTATACCCATTCTGGGATATCTACACAAATGATTAAATTTTAGGGACCAAAACTCCAAAACTCGCCTCTGCTGAAATGAACAGAAGTTTGGCTCTAAGCCTAACAAAGCAGAAGATTGCAGTTCTTTGTTGTTATCTATTTACTTGCTCATCTACATATCTATCTAATCACTGTAGCATCTTAATATCTTTTAAATATTAATGGACTTACGCTCAGAACACTAATGTGAAGTAGGGAAATATTTGTAGGGTTCAGACAGGGAACCAGCATTACATAGGAGGCCTGGTCTCACATCAGATGTTGAATTTCCAATTCAGTTTCCATCTCACAATATAAAGTCTTAAAATTGCTAAAAATCACATAGGCTCCTTTTCATTTAATTAAATTTAATAAATTTAATGTAAATCTTTGAGATTATAATTGAATAGCCTTTCCAGGCATCTTTTAAGCCATGGTTTTGTGGTGGTTCTTTAACTAGAAAAAACCCTAGGATAGACATAGTTTTAAAATAAATCCTTGTCTTGCAGGCAGTGTTCTTTGAAAAAGGTATAATTAAAATATCTATAGGCACATTACGCAGTGTTTAAAAAGTATACTATTTAAAAATTAATACTATGTTCCACAATCTGCACTTTTAGCTTTGTTATAAAGTAAGCACATGTGTATCCATCAAAGCAGCATGTTGCCTGCATTTTTAGTCCACATGAAACTGAGTTAATGTTTTAGTGACCTAAAATATAACCTTAACAAGACCACAGAAAATTACAATATCCCAGATGTAAAGGCATAATCTAAACACTTGGGTATTTAGAGTCTTGACATAACTCTCTTCCTCCTGGACTTTACAAGAGGAGAATTTGGATTCTTCTAACAGAGCTGACACCTGAGTCAGGATGTCTAGAAGCCCATAACTGATTGAATTTTCATCAGGAAAGCTTCCTCTGGATTTAGAGGCTGCATCTGCATGTATTCAAAGCTGTGTAAGTTTTGAGAGTAGTCAGCAGCTCAGTAGTTAAGCCCCATCAGGATTCACAAATTTCATAGGCTGGATATTCACACATACTGACCACAAAGCAAGCCTGGTAGACATTTTTCTCTGGCTCATCAGACAAATGTCATCATCACTTAGCGTGTATGAAAAGTGGGGAAAGAGAAAACAGTATTTTAATCTACATCTCCCAGTCCCTGCTCTGGTGAGTATGTGATATAAGATCCTTACACAATTACTGGACCAGTGAATAGAACCTGTGTGTTCACAGTCCTCTTCCACAGGCTGCATGCTGGCACATGGCAAGAGCAGCCACCTGGAGGGTGGGAATTAAGGGAAGTGCCAATTAAGGGAAGGAACTGAAGTTGCAGCTTGGAGGACACTTCAAAATTATTGGGGAAAAGGCTACAGCATGGCACAAAGAGTCAGTGTGGGTCCCTAACTGAAGGAGATGCACTGTTGCCACTCCTAAGCTCAGCCTGACAGCTCTCTGAAATCCTGAGTAGGAGATGCAAGTCTCAAAAAGGGTGGAATATGAGATACATCCTTCTCTCTATTTTTTCCAGTTGGTTACTCACATTAACGTTTCCTGATCCAATTTTGGGGGCCAAAGTAAGATCTGATTTAATTTAGAGGAAGCTATGTTATCTACTGTAAGACATTAGATTTCACACAGTCACAAAATGCCTAAATTCTTCTGTGAATACAACTCATATGGCCTAGAAGAGCTTTTAATCATACTTTTAATAAAGGCATACATTTGTCCAAGATTTTTGAATGTTGTACATCATTGTTCTGTCTCTTCTCAGTCAATACCTCCTGTTTCTAGCTGTGTTTCCACACTATTTTCTGAGCACGTTCAACTTACCAGGAACTATATTTGCTGTGGGACTGAATGTTGGGCTTTTCTTAACAGTGCTAAGAAATATTGATCTAGGTCAAACTCCAGAAGGTTAAGGATTTAGCTAATGACATCACCATGATGTCATCAGCTCTCTGGATGTCACCATCTTTACCTCCATTCTCCGTTTCTTTTTCTTATCCATCACTCTCATTTTGAGTGAAGATGGTATACCATGGTGTTCATGTGATAATCTGCAGTTGTAGGATAGACTTGATTTATTAACAACTAACTGTTTAGTATCATGCTTGATCTGGCCTGAAAATACATCATGTGTTTAGACCTTTACCATAACCCATCTTATCCTTATTGGTGTAACAAAGCATGGAGGGTAGGCAGATTAGAAAGGAAAAAAGGAAAGTTTTGAATTAAACAGAAGACCCCAGATCCCAAAAAGGATGCACTGATAGATAGAAAGTAAGAAGGGTGGGTAAATGAAGCAATAAATATTTTTATAATATGCATTTAATCATCAAGATGCAGCCTAAATTTAGGCTTTGTGTTTGATATGCCTCAAAGATCACTAGCTTTCCATTTTACCTCAGGCCACCATTCTTTTCCCAATTTCTCCTTTCCCCCCCCCCCATTTTCCTCTTAAAATGCTTACCTAAAATGTTATTGCTATGAAGCACCAACTGCCTGATCCTGTCTGGTCTTAACTTTGCAAGTCAGTTACCTCCCTCTATGTTTCTCTTTCTCTATGACAAGTAATTAAAAGATTCATCCTAAAAACATATATGGCACAACACAGAATTCAATTTGCTCTTGAAACTGTCTTTCTGGGAGATGATAAAGTGGTACAAGCCATTTCACCCTGATACACACAGGTCACAGATTTTGTGTCAGTCTTGTTTTAATTTCTGCCTAAAATAAACATCAGATCTAAATTACACATGGCCAAAGTATGATGACAGAAAAAAAATAGTTTGTGTTGCTAACTATGATGTGAAATAACAGACACATAAAAAATATTAAATGAACTATTCACCTGGAGCCCATTATTCTTCTCCTTATTTTTAATCCAGATCTTTCCTTGACCTTGTGGATCAATCAGCAAAGGATATCTAGATGCTTTTGTGACAATTATGCCATTCTGAATTGAAAGGTCATCGTTCGGAAGACCCTGGAGGTTCCATTCACCCACTGTAGCATTGTCAACAAGCATACCAGTAATGTTCAGGTCCTAATAGAAAATATGTAATTACAAAATTAGTACCAGTAGAGGAGTTATACTAAAATGTCTGATGGAAGGTTTTTCTTCTTATTCTGACCACAATGCATGATAGAATGTATTTGGTAGTTATTTTTTATTGTTTCCTTTCTTTAAAGTTCAGTGCCTAAATAACTGAAGTTTGGCAATAATGAAAGTGAATTCTGTTGAGGCTTTGATGTCCATCAAAGAGTGTCAGAGAAACTCTGAAGCCAGTTCAATATCTAATGACAACATCTAATCTATCTGACTGAGGGGTGACCTAATCAATGTTTATAAATATGTAAAGGGTGAGTGTCAGGAGGATGGAGCCAGGCTCTTCTGTGACATCCAGTGATAGGACAAGGGGCAATGGGTTCAGGCTGGAACACAGGAGGTTCCACTTGAATATGAGAAAAAACTTCTTCACGGTGAGGGTGACAGAGCACTGGAACAGGCTGCCCAGAGAGGTTGTGGAGTCTCCTTCTCTGGAGACATTCAAAGCCCGCCTGGATGCGTTCCTGTGTGAGCTGATCTAGGTGATCCTGCTCCGGCAGGGGGATTGGACTAGATGATCTTTCGAGGTCCCTTCCAATCTCTAACATTCTGTGATTCTGTGATTTTGGTATTGGCAAACTCTTTTCTTGCTAGTTCAAGAGGAAGGGTTGTCTTGATCACAAGAGCTTCCTTCTCCTACAAAGCTGCAAAGTGCCCTCCAAGTATGTATGTGAATACAGGAGGGCTTCTGGAAGACTCAGAGAAAAAGGAGGAGATGTGCTGTGGATCAATAACGATGAACTATCATGGAAAGTTATTGTTGCTATGGTCAGAACTCTTCCCACCTCATATATTCTCCTAAAGTTTGATTTGCACACATTGACTAACCTGCTTTATTTTATTCACTATGAACATGACTGACCTCTCAAGAATGTTTATATGAAGAAAACAGTGCTTAAAATCACAAACCAAGCTCTTCAAATTAGAAAAGTAGCTTAATAATGACATGAGTTTAAAAATAATAAAATTGAACGCTTTTTTATTTTGTCCTTACATTTTTCACTCAAGAATTCCTATTTATAAATTTTCTCAACAAATAACATATTTAAAAAGTCAGGAAAAGACTGCAAAAATTCAGCATCTGAAGCCTAAAGCAAAATTGTGATACAATCATGAGTTTTAGTGATACCAGCGGTTGCAAGACTCAAAAGATTTTTACCCATTTATTTTTTTTACTACTCTGATTATTGAAGAATCTGAATGAAGCAACAGAAGTGATTTTCAGAAGACAGAGAAACTTCAAGAATCCAATTTCCATTTGTGAAAAACACAGAAAAGCATTTAATAGCCAAAATATTCAGCAATTGCAACCTAAAGCCATATTTAGCTCCTTAAGCAGATGAGTTTCTAAACAGCTTTGAATTTTTTCTTACTGCAGCAGGAAGTATCATTCACTCTGCAACCCTGAAACTAGGCTAATTTAAGTGCCTAACTACAAAGATAGATAGCTTATTTTAAACAGCTCTTTTTAAATTGTTATGCCTAAATGACTCATACACCCACAGCCAGTTAGTCTGTGACAAAGTAAGGCAGATGTCAAGCCTTTTGCTTGAACTGCAAAGATGCTTGCTTTCCTGTGGTGTGAAGTATCAAGGGAAGCCCATATGCTGCCTTTTGTGAGTACTTAATTCACTGGAAAAAAATAGAACTCTTCCACACACTATCATTGAAATCATAATCCTGCCCTTAATAGCAACTGTCTAAACAGAATGGTAATTATGGTTTGAAACTCATTAATTGTGGCATTCTGTGTCTAACCTTTCCATATGAAAAAAAAAAAAAAAAAGGCAATACGGAAACAACCAAAAAGTATTTCTCAAATTTTGAAGGATGCAGCTCAGAAGTAATGTAGTCAGAACATCTTCAGAGGCAGAATTTAGAACTCTGTATGTCCTGCTTTCTAAGGACATTATACATCCAAGTTCTTATCCTTAAATGGTAAGAATCTTGACAGATATTCCCCAAGGTAAGTAGCTTTTAAGAACATTGTGTACAATGAGTTTGAGAAAGAGCCTCCCTCGGATGAATGTGTGTAGGATAACTCCCACACCACACTGGTAAAGAATCTTGCCTGAAACTGCACTGCTACTGGTACTTTAACAATAAAACTATCTTGGCCTTACATATCACTTAGCATCAAGAGCTTTCAAAGAGCTTTGCTGGACAAGCCAGAATCATTCATTTCTGTTAAGTCATAGCATAAATTGGTCTGGTCTGTGAGGTTCACTCTGTCTGGTCAAGGCTAATCACTGTTACAAGAAGCATTAAGCACCACCTACTGTAAAAAAAAAAAATCGCCAGTAACTTCTATGACATGAATACCACAGTAAACCTCTTACAGCAAAGAGGTCTTCCTAATATAGGCCTTAAGTGTCAAATCCCGCAAGAATCTGAAAAGAAAATGCAGCAGGGGTATTAATCTACCTTCAGCTGTTTCACAAGTGTACAGCTGTTTCACAAGTGTACAGCTACAGCTGTACGCAGGTTGCTCACCTGCTCCCAGCCCTTTCCAGCAGCACCTGCTCTGTCAAAAGCTTTAACATCTGAGGACAGGAGCCATTTGGGCTTAATGCCTTCACTCCTTTACTGAGAGTAAGAGACACCCTGAAATATTTCTCCAGCCTTCACTGCTGGAGAAAATGTACGCTGGTATTCAGAAAACCAACTGGAATGCAATATGGACAGATTACTCAGAAAGACTGTTTTGATTATTATGGCCTAAATTCTGCCTTCAGCATGAATATGTCTTCCAGGTGCAAGGAAGACAGATCTCCTGAAAGTCACAGAATAGGAACAAGGCCACTGCTGACCACAAGCAAAGCCTATGCACCAGAACAGCTGCCAAGTCCTTCACTCCTAAGGCAGACAGTGGTAAAAGGAAAGAACAGGATTTGTGTAAAGTCCCTGTATCAAAGCCCCAGCATGCAGGTTGCTCACTGTAATAAAGGTAGTATACGATGTGGCATGGAACTGAAGCTTCATGATGGGACTGTAGCTCCGCTGCGTTTTAAGCCACCTGTGTCTGCGCAGACTTAGGCCAGTTGAGGAGAAGCTGTAATGTCAGACCCGGTGCAAACAGCCTCACTGGCGACAAATCTACATGGATTCAAGAGCTTAGACTGGAGCAAGCTGAAGTGATGCAAACCAAGCTTTACAAAATCCAGGTTTTGTTTAACTTAATCATTTCAACAAGGCACTTTAAATTAAACTAAATTAAATGGTGTGGGTACACAGCAGAGGGTATGACAGTAGGGTGTGAATTGATAATACATGGAGGTGCAGAGGTGATATTTCCTGGTTCAAAATGTGCAATGGTATTTTCTGTAATTGGGTGTAAGAGTATTTTTATGTCAATCAAGAATTAATCAAGCTACACTTAGAATGAAAGTGTGAAGCTTTAAAAACTAAAAACTGTCTAGTTCCATTTTACAGACATTTGCTAGCAAATCTAGATTGTTAAAGTGCTGTACTTAAGTAATCCTAAATGCAAATAATGGAATTTTTTATTTCTAGACTGGTTGTGTTGAAAATTTAACATTAAGAACAGTAGGTTAAAGAATTTATGATGTAGTATGTCAGAAATACAAAACATATTAAAAAACCTTTCATTCAAATTCACCCTTTATATTCTAGATTTACAGTTCAGAGTGAAAAGTGGATATCTAGAGAGAAAGCAGATTCTTAGTGGCAGCATATGAGACTGTAGGTGGTAAAAGTGGAAACAGGGTAAATTTGCTAGGTCCCTGAAAGTTCGTTGGAGCATAACTCCCACCCAACCCAGAAGCCACAGACCAGTCTCTTCACCTCTGCACCATTCTGTGTGCCTAACTTGGGAGCTGCTGCTTCAAAGACTGCCTGGAAAACTACAAGGGAAGAGCAATACCAGCTGTGGGGTGGTACTCCTTATGATAAGGTAAACCTCTTCCAAGCTGGTACATTTTATTCTGTTTCCCATATTATGCGATTTCCTCCCAAGCCAGCTGACCTCAGACAGCATCTCTCTCTCAGATTTGCAAGAGCAATGGTCTATATACGAATATTGCAATGCATGACAGTATAAAGAGGATATTTAAACACGTTTTTAGAAACTCAGTTGTCAACTGTTCAGATTTTTTGTTTATTAAAAATTTGATGGAATGTGGCAGCCTGTAAATCATCTTCCAATTATGTACTTTTCTGGAATGGAATGCTCTGAACATTATTTCTCTGCAAGGCAAAGAGTAAGGTCAAAACAGAGCGTGAACACTTACTTTACTGTATGGAATCTTGCTGTTGTCCATCTCTTTCTTCCACAATTCAAGCAGCAAATTCCTGTACTCCTGATTGAAAGGTCCAGAGTAAGAGAGAAATCCAGTGGCCAGAAGAACATTCCCCACTAAATTAATAATTTGATTTTGAAAGTTTTTGCTGCTTGCTGTCCAACGAAGCTGTATGTAAAATATTACGAAGAAGCTAGATTAAGCAGGCACAAAACTAACATGAAGATCTAACTTAAGAATTTATCCCTTTATGGTAAATAATTGTTCTTCGAACCAGGAGTATTTTTGGCTTTAAATCAATCTTTTCAGAAGCAGAAGTTTGCTTGGAAAAGATGTCAACCACCTGACCAAGTGGAGAAAAAGCATCTTTGCCAACAAGCTGGACAAAATGGTAAGAAATGCTTTAAAAGAGGAACAAAGTGGGAGGGAGAAGGTAACCAACAATCATGGGAGGAAGTGAAGGATCAAGTTGCCAAACAAATATGTGGGGTGCTATAAACAAGGGACCTTGTAATCAATATAACAGGGCTAATGGAGGACCACTCCAAGCATATCCACATAAACCAAGAAGTGCCTACCAGACAGAATGATGGGGATAGCTTCCATACTGCTTCTGGGAAATTAGCACGGCTGGGTGTCTCTCTGAAGCGCTTGTACACTAATGTGCACAGCATGGAGAACAAATGAGGAATCAGAGGTCTGCATGTGGTTGCAGAGTCATGATCTCATGGGGATCATTGGGACATGCTGGGAAGGCTTCCACAACTGGAGTGCCACAACAGGTGTATACAGGCTTGTTAGGAAGGATGGGCTGGGAAGGTGAGGAGGGGAGTTTTCTTTTATGTGAGAGAGCAGCTGGAATGCACGGAGCTCTACATCTGAGACTCTGGGATGGACAATGAGCAAGTTGAGAGCTTATAGGTTAGGATTAGAGGGCAGACCAACATGGGTGAGGTGCACATCTGTTACAGACAATGCAGTCAGGAAGAAGTAGATGAGGTCTTTTCAGACAATTGGAAGAAATCTCACATTCACAGGCCCTGGTCAACATGGGGGACTTTAACCACCCTGTTATATTCTGCAGTGACAACACAGCAGGACACAAGCAATTTGTGAGGTTTTAAGGAGTGCACTGACAAAAAATTCTTAGCACAGGTAACAGAGGATCTAATAAGTGAAGGTGGTTTGCTGAACCTCAGACTTGCAAACAAGAAATAACTATTCAGGGATGTTAAGGTTGGGGGCAGCCTGGGCTGAGAGAACTAAGATTGTTTAGGCTTGAGAACAGACATGTCAGGGGGAATTTTATCAGTGTGTACAAATACCTGATGGGAGGGTGTAAAGATGATGATGCCACAGTGAAAGGACAGAGGGCAATGGGCACAAATGGAAGTACAAGAAATTACAAATGAACACACAAAAATCATTTTTTACGGTGAGAGTGGTCAAGGACTGGAATGGGTTGCCAAGAGAGGTTATGAAGTCTCCATCTTTGGAGATATTCAAAACTCAACTGGACAATGCCTTGAGCAACCTGCTCCATTTGACCTTGCTTTGAGTGGGGTGGGGTTGGGCTAGATGATTTCCAGAGGTACCTTCCAATCTCAATTATTACATGATTCTGTAATTTTCTGAATATTATTTCTGAGTTTTACTTATTCCTTTCTCTCCAGATTTCTGTTTCCTTTCAGTCACTCTGCATGCAGTCTTGGTCAGGACCTACACATTTTTAATTTAGAAAACACACATTTAACCCAGTGACAGTTTTGCCCAAGGCTCCGAGTGCCATATATAGTCTTTTAACTTTCTGTCTGAAGTTTCAAAAGTAGAATGGAATAACAGGCCTGACAACAGCTTTTACAAGACCTCATAGCCCAAGGCTTCAGAAAACACACGATAAGGCATGGTAACTTCCTATTTTGGTGTTGCTCTCAAATGTAGAAATTCACTGGAAAATATGGTAAAGCATTTAACATTTTTGACTGATATACTCTGAAGTACAGCTATGCAAAGGAATGCTGAAGTCCTGGCCTCACAGGATGAAATAGCTGAAGTCAAAGCTCTCATCAATTTTGACTCTGTGCGACATCAACCAAGGAATTACAAAACCAAATAATCAGATGAGAAAAAAAAAGCATCCTGCTTCCTCTGGAAACATTCAGGAAGCTGTTAGAAGCTTCCCTGGCTCCAAGTCAGTTTTGGTAGCAGGGAGGGGGCTACAGTAATGGCTCCTGTAAGAAGCTGCTGGAAGCTTCCCTGGCTCCAAGTCAGACTTGCCTCTGGCCAAGGCCGAGACAATCAGTGCCTCTGTGAATAACGTATTTATCAGGGCGCAGTTCATGGAGCAGGTGGCATGGTCCTGGCCCTGTGCAGGGCGCAGTCCAGCCAGTCTGTCCAGCTCCACCACAAGCCCAGCCCCAGGCAGGACCCAGTCAAATAGACCCAGACCCAGTCTAAGAGCCAGGAGCTCTTCCGGAGCCAGTGACAGAACCTGCAGTGGAGAGGAGTGGGATGAGAGAGAGACAACTACGCAGACATGAAGGTCAGTGAAGAAAGGAGAGGGAGGAAGTGCTCTGGAGCAGAGATTCCCCTGCAGCATGGTGAAGACCATGGTGAAGCATGTCTCCTGCAGTCCATGGAGTGGAGATTTGCTTGCAGCCCATGGAGATTAACAGTGGAGCAGAGATCCACCTGCAGCCCGTGGAGGACCCCATGCCGGAGCAGGTGGTTGGGCCCAAAGGAGGCTGTGACTCTGTAGGAGGGACCCCATGCTGGAGCAGGGGAAGAGTGTGAAGAGCCCTTCCCTGGAGGAGGAAGGAGCAGCAGAAACAACATGTGATGGACTGACTGCAACCCCCACTCCACGTCCCCCTGTGCTGCTGGGGAGGAAGGAGGTAGAGAAATTGGGAACAAGGTTTTTGAGCTGGGAAGGAAAGGAGGGACTGGGGGAAGGTGTCTTTTTAAGATGTGAATCTTTTTCTCATTATCCTATTCTGTTTTGGGTTTTTTATTTTTAAGAAATGAAATTGTTTTGGTTCTTTTTCCCCAAGTCAAGTCTGTTTTTTGCCTGCAACCATACGTGATGAGTCATCCCTCCCTGTCTTTGCCTCAGCCCACAAGGTTTTACCTTTTGTTGTCTCAGTTCTCCTCCCCATCCCACTGTGAGGGGAGGAGTGAGTGAGCAACCACATGGTGCTTATACTGGCTGGGCCTAAACCACAACAAATTTTGTCTCTCTGTAAAACTAGCCAATTAATTATCAAAGCAAATAATCCGAAGAGAAAAAAAAGAGTATCCTGCTTCCTCTGGAAACCTTCAGCCTGAAGGCAGAAAAATCTGCATAGGAAAGGTAAATTACAAGCTCAGTGCAGAGGATAATGATTAGCCCATAATTCTGTAAAAGGCTCCAGTAGAAATCTGAACTTCAAATATAATTCAGGAAACTGTATACCTGGTTAGAAAAAGAGAGTAATCCTTCTTATAAACATTTTAGGGCAATTATTTAGGTTAAGCCTAATTCCTCTTCTTACTAAAGCTAAAAGGAATTTGGCTCCTTGGCTTTAAATCCAAACTTTATCCCAATACAAGATGTATGATATGACATAAATCTTCATATAGAAGATTTAAGTTAACAAAATAAATTGTTTTACTTTGTTGGATGATTTAAGTTCAAGCAAAAACCATACATATAACTAAATCAAGTATGATATGATATTGAGACGTCACCATGCCTTGACTTTCTTGATCATTATGGAGTATTCTCAAAGCTGAGCACCTACTTTGTGCTGGAAACCTGCTCATATGTGCTAGTACCTTTTCTCCACCTAATCCTTCAATCAGAGCTGTGGCATTGTTCATCTTCCTTCTGCATGCCTCAGCATCATCAAGTAAGGCCTGTTTCTCTTTCATAGCAGTGTCATACATGGCTTGTACTTGATCCAGTTCCATTTGCTTCTCCTCCAGTTGAATTTGTGCATTATTCAGTTCCATTTGGGCAGCTGCAAGTCTTCCCTCTTGCAAGGCTAAATTTGCCTACAAACATTTAAAAGTAAAGAGTAGTTAATATCTGTTATTTAGCAGGAGCAAATTATATTCATTTTATGGCACATATTGTACTGTATTGGGTACTTTTAAAAAGAATACGTGTTTAAGATGACAGCAGTTTTTTTTCCTTTTTTACTTTTCAACCTAAAACTGGAACAAAAGCATAACATTAAAGTTATTCAAGGCAATCATAAATGTTTTAATTATATTTTCAGAATGATCCACTGATCACACAATGATCAATTATTTGAAATCCCAATACCCTTGAAATAGCTGTATACTAGATAGATGAGGCAACCCATGCAACGTTTTCTGCAGTACATTCCCAGTGCAAAAGAAAAGATTATCCTCATGGATTATAAAATAATAATAATTATAACAGAAACTACTCTCTCCTCTGTTTTCCCATCAATTACTTCTACAAAAAAAACCCAATAAACATATTTTTTGCTCCTTGGGAAACTAATACTCCAGAGACTTTTCTCACATATCTACATTAATAAGAATGATGGGTTGCTGGTCATTTAAATGTGGCCTCTTAACTTGTACATTCCTATTGGGGGAAAAAAAAGTATTCTGTGAATTCAGAATGTGTTTCCAAATATATGTTTGCAAAGGATTAGAGACTGACAAAGTTCTTATGAAATTCACCCTTACAGCGAAAGGTTGCTTCCATTTAGTCTGAATATTTAAAACACTTGTTTAAATATCGTGTATCTTATTTCTATTTTTTCTGCTGTAAGAGTTACTAAGATGGACACCAAGAATCTGTAAAAACTGCCTCATTACAAACATGAAACTTGACACATTGCATCACACCAGAAGAGTAACAGTACAAGGAATCTCTGGAACAACTCTTAGCAAACAGTTTAACCACGGCTTGGATTTTTACATTAGATCTTGACTAAAATTATAGATTTAATTGTTATCTGAATATGCTAAAATCAGCAAATTCTTGTTGCTTGGTAAAGGAAAAAACAAGAAAAAAGAGAGAAGATGATCATATTTTGAGATGTAGGCATGATAAAAAATGCAGCATGAATTCTGGTGGATTTAGAAAGATAGGTCTGCACGCAGGGAATTAGAGAAGCATACATGTACTAATCAACAAAGTAGTACTGCTTTACCAGTTACACACCTAGAGAATAACACTGTCAGCAAAAACTTAATTTACTGTAGCCACTGTTTCTGTTGACAGATCCTAGAGATAAATATTTTATAATGGAGATAACCCAGCAAAACGGCTGCTTCTAAAATTTCCATCAGGTAAGAATACAGAAATACTTTTACTCCACTGTTTCTCAGAGTACATTAAACAGCATGTCCTAGAGATAACCACTGTTAAATCAGCAAGTCTTGTTAAGACTCTGCTAAGCAGATTTCAGAACCACTGCTGTTATTTTTTAGTGAATCTTGGACTATCTTGATAAGAAAGGCCTGACACCAAATGGATAATGAGTAAATCTTACATCTGCTCATGTGCTGGGCACCCCATATTCATGCAGCATCAGACAGAGCCTCGATAGATTTTCCCATGGCATGCTGCACAGAATAGATCCTATCCATGGAGAGAAAACACTCTCTTTTGGTCATTCAAGCTATTATAAACTCCTCTTATTATGCTGTCTTATTAAAGCAGTTACCTTATTAAGCCATCTGTTGTCAGGCCTTTCTTACTGAGATCCCGAAAGAGCCCTATACCAGCCCCCTCTCTCCTACCTCATCCCTGCCCTTCCTTCCCCAGTGCAGAACATCCTCTTATCCTTAAACTCTGTGAGGGCTGAAAATGGGAGTAAAAATTATGACATATTGTTTCACCCCCAACTGAGAAATAGTGAGGTTACACAGTGAACAAGATCCTTGGAGAGTGTGGAAGAACAGCTTAGGTGGAACAGCTGGAACAACTGAGAACTTACACCTGGCTGTGTGGGTTCATATTTCACCTTGACATTTATCACAGCAGGACGTGAACCTCAATGGAAAAGAATGGCAATGTGAATTCCCAATACATATGAGCAATGATGCCTTGTAAATACGAAAAACAGACCTCTGTGCAGTAATAAACTACTCAGAAAGGTGCAAAAGACTGATCAAACAGACTTCCCAGCTCTTAACAGCTCTTAACAGTCTACCAGCTTTGAAGATGTAGGGCCAACGAAAAAATATTTCAGACGAGTACAAAGAAAATATATGTTGTACTTTAACATGAAAAAAACCCACAAAATTATTTACACAAGACTTTACAGGATCTCTGGATGACTTATAGTAATAAATTATTTTACAGACAATTTAACCAAAGTTTTCAGCCAATTTTAGGGTAATAATAACAAAACAGTAATACATTTTGGTATTAGTTTGACTTGTAGACTGCTTAATCATATGTGATGAATAGTGGTTGGTTGCACAAGAATGACTGCCAGTATACCAGGATGACCAACCTATGTTTCTGCCAAAGGCAGAAAGACTACTTGTTTCAGATTACCCTATGAATGAAATAATCACTATTTTGCTCTCTCCCTGTCTTTCTTTCCAACTCCATTTTTCAAAATTACATGCATACAAACACTGCTTTTGTATTGACATCACTGGCAGGGTGGCTGGCAGCTTCCTGTGCAGAGCTTTTCCATGAGAGCAGGAAGCAAGTTCTGCTGCCAAGGAGAATCTTCCGTGCAAGAAGGCTATTACAGTTGCAAGCAGCTTCATACAAAGATTTCCAGCCAGTTGCAGGCGGGAGGAAATGTGTCTCCCAACCACACGGAACCACTGTGGCCTTTCTAATTTCAGTGGCATTGCTATGTGAACAAGCTTCACACCCTTCATTTCATCCCTCTGAGTCACACAGCAAAGAAAGGATTCACAATTTGTTCCAGCTGGATGCAGTGTGAAAGCCTGCATAAATGGATTTTATGTGAATGAATCATGAAGATTCGAGACATGAGATCCACATTTTTATCTGCGCTTCTGGAGAGGAGGGCTACGCTAGAACTTATCTAGGCTTGCTTTGAGAGCAGCAGCTTCAGCCTTTTCGTGCCATTGGCATTGTGGGGAATCACAGACACAGACAATCTGCTCAACATCTGCTCCAGAGGGTGCCTCTACCTGCTCTCTGCATCTGTCTGCATGCGGCAAGCACAGAGGCAGTACCTGTGTCAACAAGGGCCACAGTCTAAATTGTTAAGCAGCTATCTTGCCTCCTTCTGAGATACCCTCAGAGAGGACTTAATAGCAGGTGGTGAGATGATCCTGCCTCTTTTAACCTTGTTGCATTCCACATAAAACCAGGACAAATAAACATGTAATTACTGTCCACAGCTATACTGTTAAATTAAACAAGCCCAGGATCTTTCTCTGGCACTGAGGTTACTAGCATAAAACAGCCCACATCAAGCTCTCCCAGCCTCTAAAACAGGCTGCATGCAAACAGCCTCACGGAAATGGCCCATGGACAAATCTCATTCTTGAAAGGTGCCCAGAGATTGCTAAGAAAATGCTGCTTAGACAAGACCAAATTCACACTAGGAATCATTCTAACGATTTAATAGTACAGATGATCTCTTTCCAATGTCTAGAAAAATTCTCTAGTACTGTTTAATTTATTGATATGGCCATAAGTTTCTTGCTGATTCATTGCAAACTCAATTTTGCAAAGCACCGAGTGTATCTGGCCCTGATCCAAGAAGGCATTTAAATAAAAATGGCTTCTCCAATAAAAAAAGCCTCACACCATGTAATGCTATCCCTTCTCTTGAATGGAATGCCCAGACCAATTCCAGATCACTCTGAAGAGCAGCTCTAGCTCAGTAAATTCAGGAAATGTTACTAGGAGAACCCATAAGAAAAAAAAAAAAGCAGCTGAAACTTTATTGTCCACCACACACAAGGAAGACTGTGAGCTTTCCTAGCATCTCTCTTGTTTCAGGAATTTTAGCTTTTCAAGTTCAGTGTTCTTACAGTTCACTGAGCACTCCCTACTGCTGGACCAGGCCTGAAGGCTTCTTGCACTTGGACACTGTCGCCCTGCTCATGAGCCTCTGTGGACGTGCTAGGTGACCATTTTGCCTTTGCTTCAGTCCTGTCCTGGGCAAATGGCATCTGACCTACATGGAAATCCAATCTCAAGCTGCTCCTCTCCCAGACTACTGCAGTTTTTTCACACAGATGCTCCACTGATTTTGTATCAACCTTCTCAGAGCCTCAATATCATGATAAGTTTGGATACATCGTTATAAGAGAAGCAAACACATAGACAGATTTTGCAGACATTCCAAAACCAATGTTTTTGCTTCATCAGTTTTAAAAAATTATATACATATACATATGTATACATATATAGATATGTACACATGCAAACAGATCCATGCAGAGTGGCATTAATAAAATTTTGTCCTCAGTTTCTTTGCTATCACTGACCATTTTTTGGGATTAAAACAGCCTTTGAAAGGCACAGAGATAATGCCTATATCTGCTTTTCACAGCCTCTACTAGCTACTGAAAGATTCTCAATTTTTTCCATTCAGTTACATGTCCTGACTTCAATCTGTTTTGTTAGGTGAGCTAATCCTCCCCTTCACCCCCCAGAGTATATGCTTTCCTTCCACAGTTACTGTGGGCCTTGAATTCAGACATGAATGCTTGTTTTCCTACCCAGTGGGCATCAGCTTGACAAGGACACACTGATTTAAATGGACGATCATCAAATTTTGACACTCCTTGACTGTTACCTCTTCCTCAGCTGCAAGATTTCCTCTTATTGCCTGCTGTGGTTTTTATATCAGCATGGAAACAAGTAGAAGCAGAAAAGGCAATAAAGTCTCATATTAAAACTCAGTTTGGCAAGGAGAATCCTCAGCATCAAAGAGAATTTATAAACTGTAGACAAACTTCCCTTGAACATCATAACAGCCTAAGGAGAACTTAATTAAAATCACCAGAGACATCTCTAAGGGAAATTACACCCTTATACACAGTATTTTAATTGTAGGCTAACAGAATCACAGCAAAAGCCAGGGCTGCTTCATTCTGCCATTATATTCTTCAATTAATGGATAAATAGCAGATGGTGTTCCAGAATTATCAGGTTAATCCAGCAGGTTTGTTTACTAGGTAACAAGCTAGAGAGGAATAGCTCACAGTTGTGCTGAAGGTTTATAGGAAAGCAGCACACACATGGTGATCACTGTATGATAAGCAACTACATAGCACTGTATTTGCAGGCAACATCTGGTTATACTTTTATGTGTTTGATTCTAACTAATGATCCTTAGGCTGCAGGCAACATATCTAAAGAATGTAGGTATCCATTTCTATGAATGAGTTAATTTTCGCACACTATATTTACTAAAATATGTCGCTATTCATTAGTTTCCACAAGTTGTCACACTTAAGATAAATGAGGCACTGAGTTTCATTTAAAATGCAATTTACAAATATATTGGATGGATTTTGCAGGTGTTGAAGCAGGTTTATCTCCTAGAACAACAGTTAGGATAAAGCAGCTTGATTAATTAATTCAGTAAAACTGCTTTTAGCACTGGATGATTTAGCCTGTGCTAGTACTTTACACAGGTTAATTGTACATTTATTTTCAATTATTTTCTTAGCATCACTCCAGTGCTTCCTGCACTATCTATCCTGCATACTTTAAACACTTCCTCCCTCTGTCATCTTCAGTTTTAAGACATTTGTAATTGTTGCTATACCTGACAATAGGCACCTCTTTGCCAAGAAATGCATGCTCAGTTTTTTATCAGCTAGTGTAACAAGAATGTAAATACTTGAATACAAAGTTAAATTTATACACAATCTTAAGGTGTATATATTCAAATAAAAACTGCAAGAGCATTTTTGTGGCTTTCAGAGTTGCATCTGCATATAAAGTCACTATTTCTTCTAGGTCTTGCTCTCGTTTATAGCTCTCAATAGCCACATTTCAAATTCTGTTTTCATTAGTGAACATCCCATTATTTGAAATGGGAATTGCTACTTATATATCACAGAAATATAGCCTTCTCTATCAGTTACTTGAATCAAAAAACACCATGCTTTTAACAAATTTAAATCAGATCTGTCTAGATATACTAAAGAATATGCCAAGGGTTTTGAATAGACCATTGATACTGTGGCTTATACAATAGAAGACTGAACATAAATACAGTGGAAGCATAACCGATCGAATGCATTTCTTCAGAAAAGAACCATAAAATCCCCTGTAGAAGCAATGATTATAAATCACTATGCAAATATTCAAAGTCCTTTTTTTTTTTAATATGCTCATAAATGAAACATTTCCAAGACAATAAAGCTATCTGTAGGAATACAGACAATCGTAGCTGATCCCTTTCTACAATAGTTCAATGTTACAACAGAATTCTATGTCAGGTGACTACTTACTTTATTATATATACACTAACATGTAGCATTTTGACAGTCCAAAGCTTCCTTAGAGAGCTGAATTCCAGCTAAATTAATTAAAGAATACTTCTGTGCCAAGAACGGTCTATCCTCTCACAGATCCTACAAAGACCACAATGAGTATACACCTTCCCAGGCCATCAGGACTGAGGAGTATTTTTGAAACCATAGTGAGTTCCATCAAGCCTGAGAGCAGAGACAGTATCAGTATCTCCCACTTGCAGACAGCCAGGCTCTATAAAGAACCCGTGTACTCAGGCTCCCATTGAAAACCGACTGTGTTCACACAAGTAACAATTGTACCACAGGGCAGCTGTGTAAGGCGAAAAAATGCCAGGACATATTTAACCTCTGTGTGCTTGACTTCACAACTGGATGTAAAGAAAGAAGAATCTTTCTTGTGATCTTTTTTAGCCAAAATAATGCAACATTTTTTCCACTGAACTATAGTCAACCCTCAGAAAAATAAAATGAGTATTAGGAAATACCTTAAGAGGAAGAACTTCTTTATTAATACCATAGAAGTAAGCCATTGCTTGTGTCCATGAGCAAAGACCAGCTACATTTCCACACACTTTTTTAGCAGTCTCAAGATTATAATCCTCCATATCCAAATAAGGCTCTAAAAGCTCCACAGTTTCACCTGTAATTGTGTCCTAGTCAATGGAAAGATAAAATTATTTTTTAATGGATTTTAGAATAAAGACAGCTTCACAGAAACATTTTTCTTTTTAAAAAACATGGTGCTACCACTTCTTACAGAAGAAATGAATTAAACAACACTGTTGCCTTTCATTCTTATTATTAGCTGTTTTTTGTGAACTCAGGTGAAAATAGCTCCGACTTCTATTGCAGCAGACTGACTTGAGTTTGCATTAAATACCCCTATTAGACCTGTAAAATTTACAGACATTACTTGCACTCATAGCTCCATGACAGCTTAAGGTGATCGCAGCACTATACCTTCTTTCCTCTCCCCTTCAACCAGATGTTCTTGCCCCATCTTTAGTACCATTGCCAATGCTCAGTGAGCTAGTTGGGAAACTAATATGACAGAAATCTAAGCAAACTAGTGATTAGCTTTCTTCTAGGCTAGTTCCCTGAACAAGCTCACCATGGCATCAGATAGGTGCCAGTGTGGTGAACACAGCTAAGAGGGTCCAACATGCAGCTTTAGGAAGGAAAAGGGTGAAACTGCAAGGCATTGAGTTCACTTCACTGAAGCTACCCCTTTTCCTTAACCATAAAAGTGTTTTTTTTCAGTTATTCACTTCATTATTTATTATTCTCAGATTAGAATAATGTTCCCCCTTCACAATCTCAGAACATCAAAAGCCAGATCTCTTATGATGGTAGTTAATCTATAATTAAGTGTCAGAAGAAAATGGAATTATTCTCCTTAAGCAACAGAGAGCATAGAAGAGCTTATACAGGGTGACAATAGTTGCTTAACAATAGAGGCATTAAGAATCTTCCCTTTTTTGGCAACATATTAATGCATTCTTTTAATGCATCTAAAAATCATCCTCCATTCATACTGTCAACCAATATACCCTTTTCCTGCTTTTCTGCATAGCAGAAAGGACTGTATTGTACTTGTCTGATCCCTAGCTACTACAATAACAAAGTCATTCGTCATATTATTCCTAAGATCAGACATGGTGATGTTTTCACTATAAGCATTTGCTAAAATGTAAAGTAGTGTTGGACAAAAATTTTTACTTTTTCATTCTCCTACTCAAAATTACAAGCTAGCAAACTCACAAAGGTGAAGCAAAGACCAATCAGCAGTGTCCTAAATCTCTGTTCAAGAGCTTGAAAAATGTAATGTTTTCTTTCTAAATAATGAATCTTAAACTGAAGGAACTATTTAATCTACTAATCTTCCTTGCCTAAAAAACTTGTGAATGAACAAAAATCTCAAACACAAGTAAGCAGCATGGACTACTCAGAACTCCAGACATGATGAGCTTTCTTTTCATATACACTCTATCTTAGAAACAGGAAATGAGGCAAGAGGACAGCATGTGAAGTACCTCATCAGGGATAGAAGTAATCTAGTGTTCTTCACCACATTCATCATTATCACTTCCTGCAAGAATTCAGTCCCACAGAGGTTATTCTGACTCCCCTGAGTAAAGTTAAGTGTGTTGCAAACTAGCAGCAGGAACACATACACTATTAATAAGCACCAAAACTGGAAGCCTCATTGGAGAGAAGCTTGAGTAAGGAGTGCATAATTAGTCTCCATTATTTAAACTCATTTCCTCTTTTTGTTTACTGAGGATAGCATTTGGAAAAGTGATCAGATGGACAGCCCCAGGAAGGGACTGTCTAGAGAGACAGTGCGAGTTTCCTCATGGTGCCTTGTCAATATGGCTCACTAGGAGAAACGGCTCCTGAGGATAGTGACAACTATGGTTTCAGGCCTCATCTGCACAACAAAAACACTGAAGTAGCTTAGAAAAGGCTCAGCATGGCTGAAGGAGATTTAAAAAATCGATGTACAAATGAAAATGTATATTCTGCAATGTTGCAGAAAACCCAGGTTTTGCCAAAATCTGCTTGGTTTTCTGGATTTTAGAGCTGGCCCATGATTCTGCCATTCTGTGGTCCAGACTAGCTCTTTTTCTGGTCCAGCTACCTGTGACATCTTTCTTCTCTTCCCTGCAGAGAAATTTCTCTTGTCTCACAGTGAATCTTGCTGTAAACAGAACAAGTTTCTGTCCTGGCAGAAATAAATACCTGTGTTTGCTTTTATTTTTCTTACAGTTGATACTAAGGTTTCTCAGTTCATTCTGCATTTCATTACTTTTCTAGTGAAAGAACTCCAAAAGTTCCCAAATATCTCAGTGTTTTTCCTGACAGGAAGTTTATTTTCTACTGTATTTCCTCCTAGCTCCACCCCCAAGCAATTCTGAAGAGTTCTAGAGTGCCTTATATGCAAACATGCCTGGTAGCACTGGAGACGGTGAGCCATTTGAAAAACCAACAGAGAGTCCTTTTAAAGCAAATTCCTACTGAGAAATAGGAACCGACTGAATAAAGATAACACTAAGCTTCTCAAGATCTGATCTGGTGTTTGGGATACTTGTGTCTGACATCAAAACTGTATTGCCCAGGAGAGAGATTACTGAATTAATGAACCATGAAAATGGAGAGGAATACGGTCCCAAAGGTATCTACAACTATAGGTACACAAAAGCCTCATCTGTTTCAAACTACCTTTGAAGGTAGAAGACACTTTCAAAAGATCTCTAAAGACTGCTATTGGAGTAATAATGCCACTATTAATTTCTTACCTTCTGGAAAGTAAGCAACATGCTAAGAAATCCTGAATTATTCATTAGCTTCAGGGCCTCAGTCCACGATGGCTTCACACATGGGCGTTCTTGATCAAGTGTTACCAAGTCTACTTTTCTTTGGAATAAAAGTAGCACACAGTCCATAATTCTCATTATCAAGTGAGGAGGTTTACCCAGTTTGCGAACAGTTGCAATATCAGAAGGTTTTATTGTCTGAAAAATTAAAAAATAAAATAATCTACTTATTTAAGCAGTCACCAATCACCTAATGGTAGAGAAAGGTGGTTTTTGGGAGAACTGTATATGTAATGCAATTGCTGCAGTTTTGCAGATCAGCCAGAAGCGGTACTGCACAAAGTCCCTAAAGGTAGTACCCACTCAATGACTCCTTTATTACATGAGAGTAGAGAAGGCACTGCCCATCTAACCTCTCCACTGCCTCAGCTTTCAGGTTTTTTTCTACAAGGATTAACAAGTCAGTGCTAGCCCTTTCAACACTTTTTTTTTTTTTTTCAAATCAGAAGCATAAGCCACATTATTACAAATAACAATCATTAACTACATGTGTGTTCAGAATAGCTTTGATTCTGACCTGCAGGGCTGCCTTGGCTTCTTCCAGCGCAGGTCTTGCAGCTTCAAGCTTCTCTTCTGCTGCTGCTTTATCAACGGCAATGTCATCCACAATGGCCTGAGCCTTGTCTTTTACCCTTTGCACCTGCATTTTCACCTTTTCAGCAGCTTGGGCTTTCATAGTTACCTCCAATAAAACTTCATCAGCTTTTTTTGAAGCTGCATCCAAATCTTTCTCCTTCATCACCAACTCTTTGGAGAGCTGATTTACTGAAACCTCAGCTTCCGTCAGTTTTGCAAGACCTGTGTTGAACAAATTCCATTTTAGCAATAGGAAAGCCTATTGAGAGAGAAACCTCTGTGAAGCAATCTGGATACTCGAAAACAAGTCACTCAGATTCATATTTAGGAACTCCAGTGTGTGATCCCACTTGTTGAACACCAAAATTAAGCAGGGGTAATACCCATTTGCTATTTAAAGCTTTTAATTTCCTTTTTTTTTTTTCTTTAAACAGGTAAGAGTCTTCAGAATCTGTCACTTGATCACTTGTTTATATTCTTATATATGAGAGGGACACTAAATATTAAACATACATGTTGAAAAGCATTAGTATTGTGAATGGCACTCTTAAGAATTGTGTGTGCAATTTCAGAAATCCATGAGACCATAAGAAGTACCAGAGTGTACTCTCAGTGCAAAAAAAGAGAGGAGGAACCTGGCATCCTGAGGAATGCAAGTGAAGACACAAGGAGACTAGGCTGAGCTTCTGAATTCAACATTACATGAACGTCCACATGAGATTGAGGTAAAAGAAACTAAAGATTCTTGAGCAATGCAATGCTCCAACATTTTAATCAAACAATGAGAAAATCACCTAGAAAAGCTGTAAGTATAAAAAGCCTTACATGTAAATGCATGCATCTAAACGTAAAGGCATCGTGTAAATCTTTCTAACCCTCAAAAAAAGCACATATGTTACTTCCAGGCACCCAGACACCCTCTGCCTATTGAGATAGATTTACCTCACCCAGTTCTGCAACTCAGAACAGTGGGAGAACAGTTTAAGTTCACATTCACCTCCAAACAGCATTCTGTTTTGGAAACTGTTTACTGTGTGTGACCTTGTGCAGTGCAGTATTTTGGAAATTCCGCATTTGGCATATAACTGTTTCTTTAAAAGGTTCTTCAGAGTGACTGAATCTGAACATTTACTTACCTTCCCTCAGCTTTACTTTTAGCATGTCTATATGTGAAACTAGGATCTCAGTAGCTCCTTGGCATGCATACATGTCAAAGCAGGAGTTTCAGGTATTTTAACTGCTAACTAATACTATTTTCAAAACTCATCTGCAACCTGCAACATTCACAAACTTAATTAAAACAAAACCTCTGCATATTTTGTAAACACAAACACAGCTGAAAACATGAGTCTGCTTCCAAATGAAAGTGAGCTCACAATTTAAATCCATACCTTTACATTCTTTTACTGAGATTCTTCTCACTTTTTAAAAATGAAATAAACAAAAATTGCAGATTTTACAGTACCTGTTCTCATGCGTTCAGACAAACTTCCAACACTGGCAAACTTCTCTTTGTAAATAGCTTTGTAGCCTCCAATGAAGGACAGGTAAGATTTTGGAGTCACAAATGTTTGTCGCCTGTATCGTTCAAAGTATTCAACACATTTTTCAGTTACAATATCTTGAAATGTTCCCATGGTGCTAATGACACTCTGCTTCACTTCATCTGTGCACTCAATATGGTAGGAAACTAAAAAATGCTGTGCAACTGCTACAAGAGCATCTTTAGGCCAGCAGTGAAACCAGTCCATGGTACAGCCTGAAATCAGACCTGGAAATCTGAGTGCACGAATTCTGAACTTTTCCCCAATAGGAGAAAAACAAAGAATGACATGCAGGTTATCACGAACTCGAGAAAGAAAGTAATTATAAAGATTTTCACCAGTGGGAGTACACCTTGGATACTCCTTCTTCATTGCCGGTATTAGGTCTTGTGTGATTTCACCTATTTCATCCCGTGCAAAAAGATTTGAGACTTCACCTGAAGCCAAAACATTGTTCATGTACTCAAGAAACGATTCATCTCTGATTTCATTGTCTGTGAATATAAAGACAATGCCCTTTCCTTTTTGCCCAGCAGTGCGGTACAAGATTTTCAGATCATCCAAAAGGTTATTGGTGGCATATGTTCTGGGACAGAAAAGGATTAAAGAAAGAGAGAAAAAAATTACAGATCATTTTAGGAAATACCTATGGCTCAGCTTCCATAAGGCAAGAAAAAAATCTACGTAAGAAATTAACACCATATGTCCTGGTTTCATTTTTTCAGCGTTTTTTTTTTTTCTTATACATTTTCTCAAAGTGAATTATCAGTACCATAAGACATGGGAAAGGAGGTGAAATCAACAGAATAACATGCTGGAAAAAAAGACCGTAAGAGCAATACTTTGCCTAAGGTAAGTATGCTGCTCTGCCTCCCTACAGTCTGTGGACATAAATTCTTTATTAGAACTGAAGGTTAGTACAGCTGGATTAGTTTGTCAAGTAGGTTCTGATACCTGTAACCATTACAGAAATACAGATGGATTATCTTTCAAAGATATTGAGAGCAGGTTAAAGGAAATCATTAAGAGACAAGAATAACCAAGACTGAGGTTATTGTGTTATTTGGTTTAACTGAAATCAAGCCCCAGAATTCAGATTATGCAATATCAAATGAAGTAAATTAAGGTTAACAAAATGGCAGACATTGTCCCTTATGTTCTTAGCCAATTAAAGCTGAATTTAAGAACCTCTTTTCTTTGAAACCAGTTTCTTATTTCCAAGAGTCTCTTCAAAGTCAGAACACTTGCAATGCACATATGTCCTGTTCTTCAGCATTTGAAAAAAAAATACTCTATTTTGAAATTAAATATGCTATACAGAACATGTCCCAGTTCTCTTCCAGCTCCATCTTACCACAGCTCTATATCCTTCATCTCCAATGCTAGCACTGCAGAAATTGTAAAACTATCCAACTCTTCAGTTTGCTTATGTCAGGTACAGTTGTTACAGTGAATTGTTGTATTCTGATAAGAACATCTGAATTTCTCTACTAAGTCAGAATCATAGAATCATTTAGGCTAGAAAAGACCCTTAAGATCAGCGAGTCCAACCAATTGCTATCCAACCAGAATAGCAGGCCACCTAGCTCAATATTCTTAATACCAGCAATAGGAAATACTACTTAGAGAGAAAACATTATCCACTCTCCACTGCTCATTTCTTTCTTCCCTTCTCCATATTCATAGCCATTGCATTAGGAATATTAGAAGGTATGTTCATTTTGTCCTCTCAGTATCGATTTATGAACCCGCTCATACTGTCTTCCTCCACAGCTTCCTGTGGCAAGTTACAAAAGATCACTGTCTGCTCTGTAAAGACACACTTTCAGCTACCTGCTTTTAGCCCATCTTCAGTTAGTTTCAGCAAATGAACCTTTCCTAAGTGACTGGAATATTTATTTGCCTTATTAATGCATTTTGAATCTTGCAAGTCTACAGACTCTATTGTGTGACTCTATGCTTTCTTCTTTCCCTTCTGTCTTCGTTCCCACTGTTCATTCCTTCTGCTTCTGGGACAAAAGAAGAGGCTATGATGTGGCTTTCTTCCTCTTTCCTTTCATGAGAAACCTCATAACTTTGTTTGATATATTTCTCTAAGGAAGATTTCTCAGTGTAACACACTGCCAGCACTCAGTGCTTATCCCTCTAAACCCTATGTCAAAAGAGAAACAGATGGAAGGCAGTAGTTACTCCCAGTCACTTCAAATGTCTACAAATTACTGAATTCCAGCACTATGTACTATTAAGTCATTAATAGCAGTTGTAATAATACTGTCTGTGTACATAAGCCTCTATAGAAAAAGTCACTACTTCTCCTGGCCAACAGCATTTGCTCACTACTCAGCATATACAAGCAGATCATTCCACATTATCTTTAGTGCAAAATGCTATTTTAGTGGGATTTCAGAAGGGTGCATTGCAGACTCAAAAGCTGAAGGAAGGACAAATTTCTACTCAACAGCATAAAGGCAGCTAATCAAAGACCCAGGATCTGTCACCTACAGACTGTGCATTTGCACAAATGCTTTTGATTGAGTATGCAGTTTACAACAGCAGAGAAAATGTTTGGCAGGTTTGCATTTCTTGACATTGATTGTCAGACATTAATTTCTATGGTAAATTAAGGAGCAAATGTCTATGTACACTGCATTGTGTTACCTTGTTAAAGTAATCTGAAAGCTCTCATATCCAGCAATATATGATGCTAGTCTGGTCAGACTCTGTTTTCCAGATCCACCCACACCCACCAACAATGCATTTCCTTGTGGTGTACGAATAATCCTTGATATTTTAATCAAGTGGATAATTGCATCCTGTGTATTAAGAGAAAAAGGGATGAAAAGATGTAAAAATAACATGATGCATATTCAACTAAAAGCACATCATGAAGCATCTGCTTCCCAACAGCTAGATGACTCCTCTGGAGCCTACACCAAAGACTCAGTCTTGTACTCATCAAAATGAACAAGAGATTTCCTCCTGACTTCAATGGGCAGCACATCATATGCAGTGCTTGTACTTGGCAGAGCTGAGGGCATGTCCCTTAGCGGATGGAAGGAAAAGTAGAAAGGATGTGGATTAACACCCTCCCCCAACTTTTTAGTTGAACTATTTACAGGTCCTCTAAATAGGCTGCCAAAAGTAAAATACAAGTACACTATAGACATTTCTTATTCCCTATTTATCTTAGAGCAAGAATTAATCTGAAATGCCCTAAAAATCTACCAGACCACCCAGTTAAAAGCTGAAGAAAGCCTAATGCATCAAGAGACTTGAGAAGGAGATAACTTTCAGAGATGCAAGATGACATTCACAATGTGCACTGTAGAAACAAATGAGTTATGCCTTGCATTATGCAAAGGCAGGAGAAAGAAAATATGGGGAACTGCAAAGAGATGGGATAATTTGTGGGAGTGAAGGCAGCTGGGAGACAGCAGCATGGCTTTATAGAATTTATTTGTAAGGCTCATTAGATACAGAGGTAGCCATTCTGAGCTATCTCCAAAATAATTTGATGGAAACATGCAAGATCGATGTATCAGTAAGTGCAAAAGACCTGACACCTTCTGTATTAATATAATTACAGGCACTAATACCTTGAAAAATACTAAATCCATCTTTGATCCTCTGATGGTTTCATTGTACTGTTGCATGAACATCTGTAATCTTTCAGCCAAATAATCCAAAGATGGGATAGGCTCATAAATTTTAGGAGCCTTCAACTCTGCATCATCAGGTTCATCTCCAGTAGCTTCTGGGATGTCACGCAAGAAATCCACAAAGTATAATTCTGTGGATTTATCTTCAAATAGATTTTGACCATGCTCTGCAGAAGCAATCTACAACAATACATTAAGGATTGCTTTAGTAATAAAACATTTCTTTGACCTCTTTCTGTGCCAAATATTGGAACATTATTTGCCTACCTTTTTCATAACATCTTCAAACCAGTCTTTATCACTTTGGCTGATGAACCTGTCTGCAATAACACGTCTGCATTCATGCTGGAACAAGGCTACCAAAACACTGATGCTCTGGCAGACTTCAGAAGTAACTGTAAGTATTCCTTGCCAAATACGACTGAGGTCTCGTAAGTTAAAGATGTAATGAAATTTAGCTGGAGTCGGTAACATCTACAAAATAATGTCATCAGCTATATTCAAATAACTATTAAATATTTTCTATCTAGTACTAAATGAATATGGAAATTTTCACAAACTTCAAAATCAAAATTGTACTAGAGCAGAAATACATGCTTGGCATTTAAGAGGCAACGGTAAAAATGAAGAAATGACAGTAGCAATAAACAACCCTTTAATTTCACATAGATTTCACTCAAGTTTCTTTGAATATTTCAAATCCCAGGAACATGGACTGAAGGGCAGCCAAGACAGGTTGCAGCAATGGCATTAAAGGCCACAGTAAAAATGTCAGCATTGCGTAACCTGCGGTGTTGCTCCTGCCCTTTCTTCCAGATCATCATGAAAAAATGAACAACTTAGCAAAAGCTACATTTTCTCGATAGGTAATTAATTGGCAGTTATAAGCACCATTTCTGTTGAATATAGTAGTTAATAGTTGGCTGGTCAATAGTTTCACTAGAACTCTATTTCTCTGTGTAAGACAGGGTTATGTCTACAGTTGAGTTGTTTGGGAAATTATGGCCAACCCTTTTTTGGTGTCTATCCACCACTCTCCTGCACTTTTTTCATTAGATCAAATTTGTCACAAATTTCTATGCCATAATTTTACTCTTAACTCTTCAGATTTCATTCTATACATAAACTGTATTTTCTACTTTAAAGCAACATTTGTTTAGGAATTGCAGTTGAATGTTTTTACAATCTGTTTGAAATGGAAGAAGTAAATAATTAGAATTTACTAAATACCAGATTTCATTTGTTTTGAACTGATTACCTCTTTGCTAAATTGGACTTCTTTCCTTTAATTCTGAATTTCTCACAATCCCAAACATCTTTACAGAAGATTCCTACCTAATTTTAAATTTATAGTTCCTTATGCTCTTGATATTTTCCCAACCAGGACCTCTAAACCTTCCTATCAGCTATGCTTAGGATCATAGAATCATAGAATCATTAAG